ACATCGCAGAAGTTACTACTGCCATTTCTGAAAAAGTTAGCTTCATCTGTAAATAGTATCTCTAGCTCAAACAAGCGATAATTCGCACTTTTGTCTAAAAACCATTGACAAAAATTAACACGCAAGGGAAAATCTTTGGGAAGTAACGCTTGGACTCGTTCAGAATCGGACAAGATTTTCCAAAACAAGACGTGCGATATATTTAGATTATTTCCTGTTTTTCTAGTACAATTTAAAATTGCTTAACTTTCTGGTGTTCTTACAGTTCGAGGGGCCCCCTTTTAAATTATTATTTACTCTCACAGTACCAGTTTCGGTCAACCTTCTATGTACATTTGAAAATGAGCGCCCATCTGGTATGACTCTATTAGGAAAATCACTTGTAAAATGCATATCTGCCAACTCCTCATTAATAAACTAGACCATTCTTTTTTAAAATTACAATACTTCGATCTTTTGAAGTATTTTAATAAAGCAGATAGACAATTACTTAAGTAAAAAATAATAATGATAATAATTCCCTGCATGCTGCCATTTTAACGATTGTTATAATCAAGCGAAAACTATATATCGACTTGAAAAAAATGAAGAAATTAAATTTCTGCCCTGCACACAAAATAATTAAATGTTGAAGATATTCATTTAGAATTCTGCAACTTCTGTGTAGCTTTTGTTAATCCACTGCTGATCATTAATTTTTGGTAACTTTAGAGCATTATGCATTTTAGGTACGTAACTTTTAATCAATTTGACATAGAAATTCTGTTTCTAATAAGCTTTTTTAAGGTACATAAGTTAATATTATTAAATCAATTTATTAAATGAATATTATTAATTAATATAAGTCAATACTACTATCAGCGACATTGGTATATATTCTCATGCATCGTGTAAGGAGACACTGAAAGTATGTCCGAAGGGTATGAGGGTATAAAAATTAGCATTAGAAAGAACATAAATTATGCCAAGCTCAAGATCTCATATACCTTCTGAACTTCAGTTATTGCAAGAGATAATAGTTTAAATTCTCATTATAACAGTAAAAGTGTTTTTGTTTACTGAAATAAAAAATTAAGAGCTTCTTTAAAATTAAATTGAATTAAATTTCTGGAATCGCCGCCAGGGGACGTAATCGCATTCTTGAATTTTAATACCAGTTTTTTGAGACACTTAGAAGTACAAATAATACTGGAACGCTGAGATATCTCCATAACTGCCAAAACCGTAGCGATAAAATTCAATACTTGGAGTTTTTGAACATACATAATTCAAAAATACTAAATATTTATAATGCCGACGTGTGACATAAAAGTTCTAAATCTAACAGCATTACTGTTTTTTCACCCCAAATCTTTACAATTACTTTTCGAGATGGACCGGCAATTTTTATTATGTTAAACTAAAATTATTTCCTTCTGGAGTATCCTACCTGGATACACCATTTTCAGTGTTAGTGTAGGGACACCAATAGGCAAAACTCACAAATTGATCCCAGGTGATCCTATCTGCACTTGATAAAACAAATTGCAATGGAATCAATGCAAATAATGAAATTATTAATAATGAAGTTATTATCTGGCCACTCTCTATTCTTTTAGCATATCCAATTAAGTGATTATTACTCACAGCTGTCTGAAATATACTACAATAGTATATTATGCAACAATCGCGGTAAACGGCACTTGAGTTTATTTGGCACGAGCGGAGCGAGTGGTTAATAAACGGAGTGACTTAAAAACATTATTAAACTTGTTGGATAGTATACTTTCTCTACGACCGTTAGATGAAAAACTCAAATGCTAAAGTGACGCTTGCCGCGCGCTAGATCGGCGTATGATTAAGTATTTTACAGAAGGGAGTAGAATAAAGTAGTTTAATTAATTTTGGTAATTTTTTATTTAGTTGAATTTTATTTCCACCGCCACTAGCTCGAAGAGGAAAACGATAACACACAATATACAACCAATAACAAGAATTAAAAATCCTCCGCTTAAATGACTTACAGTCAAAATTACCCGGGTATCCGATAGCCGGTTTCTAACCTTTTTGATTTCCAAATCATTGTCTCCGTCTCCAGCCTGCGCGCTCCTCAAATACAGAGCGTGAAAAATATCCAGAAATGGCGAATTTTTCCTAAACATAAACACGCCGAACGTGGGCATCAACGGTTGCGGCATGATTTCATACGGAACATCGCCCAGTAGGTCTTGGTAAAATTTAATGAACTTTTTGGCGTAACTATATGGTAATATAAACGAGCAACGCTTGCGATCGAGAACAATCGAATGTACCTCCGAAAAGTTCTTCGTACGCACCTGATCCACAAGAATCTGCGGAATATATTGAGTTTTGAAAATTTCGTAGACATCCAAGTCGCTTTTGTCCAAATCTTCGATTGTTGCTATCGGTTCCTCGTACTTGGTGTTTAAAATTTCTGTCATCATGAAGGACTTCAACGTCGCACCAACGACCACAACGTAAAGGAACCATCCGAATGCGGGAACGGACCGATATCTGCCAAATTCGTCAAAAGGAATTGTCAAGAAGCTTCCGTAGTAAATGAAAATGGAATTGACCAAGTCACGCTGTTTAAATATTACAAAATCTACTCCGGCGAGGGTTAATATAACAACAATACACGAAAGGAATACCTTGTGCCTTAAAATAGCAACAACATCGATCCAACCACTCAGCGGGCGGGGTTTGGGTACTACCGCTACCATATCATTATGCGCGATAGGATACGAGTGTTCTATCAGTGGGTTTAGAGGTAGTAACATGGAAAAGTAATTGGGAGAAAATTCTACCTCTCCTGTTTCTATCAATGTCAGAGCGGTTCGCCACTGCATCTCTTGGTCAAAAGAAATAATATTCATAGTTCCGTTGAGCGACTCTATTAATGTGAATAACATCCTTTCGTTTGCAGACGTCCAGTCAACTTCTTTCCCAAAAAGGGTTTCAAATGAGACAGCGTTTATGTAATGCTTGTGAAGGTTTCTGAGACGGATTGGAAATAAGTTTTCATATTTCTTTTCCCCGCTGAAATTCATGACCTTGGAACCATCCGAATACGGGTCGTAGGACACCACCTGAAGACTGTAATAGAAATAAACTAGAATAAATTTTATAACTCTGTGGTCCCAAAGTTTGTCCAAAATTGGCCGGACGAAATGATCACCCGTCGTTTTCTTGCACAACGTGATCACAAATTTGCAAAAAGTGCGAAAAAACGGCGCTCGCACCAATTTTTGAAATATAACATCAATGTTGTCCACGGTCTCGACAAAGATGAAAATCCACGTAGAATCAGTTACGGCAATATCCATGCCGTAGTCGTAGGTGATGATGATCTTTGAAGACGACCTCGTGGATTGATGTACAAACCACTCATTTAGTTTTCGACACTTTCCTGGTTCTTGAATGAAAATCACGTCTTCTACCATATGGGTTTTTGCAATATGCATTAGAAATTCTTGCAAAGGTGAAATAATATATTCGAAATTGGCGAGAAAAAGCAGCGACGAGAGAGTCAATAATATTGTGAATTTTGGCATGGCCTTACACCCTGGAAAAACAGGAATGATATAGCTGAAGTTTATTTCCGATGATGATCAGGCATCATATTTCCTTTGAAACTTAGGGCACGTTCATCCATCTAAGCTACATTTACTTGATTACTGCAAATGAAACAATATTCGTGTCTGTCATGTCTTGATATAGGTAATATAAGGTAATTTCTTACCAATTTTTATAATATTTTCCAAATGTGTGGCATGTTAATCGTCAATCATTCAATTTACTTCGAAGAACGGTCTCAAAAAAAGGAAGGAAAAATCGATCGTCACGGGTATGCCAAAATCAGTCATTGTTCATTTTGCGACGCAAATTTTATTTAGAGGGAGACGGGACTAATCAGAAAAGTGTAATAATACTTCTCATTTTGGTTTGGAATTTTTGACGCTAAATAATTTTCTAAAGCGGACTTTGCAAAATCATTTAAATATTTTACCCTTCTTTGAACTAAGTAGTTGTGGCGATACACATGTGAGGATTTTGTGTATATAGAATACCTACTCTTAATTTCATACTGGTGTTAATTAATAAACATTTTTAAAAATGGTAAATTTATTATTCCTCCATTTTGCCTATATAAGCAAGTCGATGTCCCGAGTTTTTTTTTAGTTCTATTTCCACAGCAAATGTCTCATAAACAAAGATCACAACATGATAATGTTATGGAAACTAGTAAATTAGTTGAGAATTAGCAAAGTCATTAAAATCTTTTGCTAAAGGAGAACTTATCAAGGAGTGTTTGTTAGAAGTTTGCAGTATTGCAGTGTGTCCTGTTGTACGACGTCTAAAAATGATCTAAAAACAATATTGACTCAACGTATGGCTGGTCTTGAATCATTTTCCACCGATTTGTCCCAAAACAGCTCAGCTAGCGAACAGCTAGGTTTTGATTTAAAGTTTACTGTTACTTAGAAATTGCTTGCTTTACAGTCGCTAAAGGGAACCACTACAAAGAGGACATTTTTAATGAAATTCAAAAGGTCTTCACAAATTTTGACTTACCATGATCAAAATTAGTTGGAGCATGCACAGATGATGCAGTTTCTATGATCGGCTTACGAAAAGGTTTCATTAGAATTTTGAATTTTGAAAAAGCAACTGAATTAAATAAGCAAGTCCTTCATTGCATTATCCACCAACAGACCTTGTGTTCCAAGTCCATTCGACTCCCTCAATTCTAATCAATTTCTAGGCTGAAATATGTGAGGAATATAACGACGTAATATAAAGTCAGATGGCCAAGCAAAGGAAAAATGCTGAAACGGTTTTACGCATAGAAGCTATCTGGTAACAGTTACCATTTCATCACGCTCTCTGCGTATCGAAATATTGCTTATGCTCAGTATGCTGAAAAACTCAAGTTACTGTCGGAACAATTTTCAAAGAGATTTTGCTATCATATATAATAACAAAGGTTTTGGTTATAGCGGTAATACAACATCCGAAATACACGAAAGCAAAAAAGGCGATCGTAAGCGGAAGAACCAGAGGAATTTAGGAAAATCGAACAAAAAATTTTCAGCTGCCGTCGACGAGGGATTCAAATTTCAATGCGAAAAGTGCATCAAGGTATTCAGTCGCGTTGCGGATTTGGAAAAGCATCGGAGCAACGAACACGCCGCTAATTTCACTTGTGAAGAGTGTGGACAGGTAATAAACACATTAATTTAGCTCTCCGTCATGGGTTCAGATGGTACTTTTAGGTTCTAAATTTATTGTACCGTGCGTCCAATTTGTCTTGATAACATTTTGATTAAATAGAAAACAAAAAGTTAGGGTTACCAGATTTTTTCCTAAATGATATGAACACATTATTGTGATTACAATAACAATAACACACTTTATATTTTATTCAACTTGTTTTCTGGGTATCAGCAAAACTGCAAGAGGGCAGCGTGACTAACAATTAAAGTCAAGTATATAAAAAGTAAGTTACTCCCAAAAGATATTTACAAACCTTTAAAAGAAACCTGCAACGTGTCAAATATCAAAAAAGCATGAAGAGAATAAAAACATTTATCAGTGGAGCAACTAACAAAAAAATTGAGGATTTAGGTTTGGCAACAAAAACTTCTAATACCCACTTTTCTCAATTGATTACAGAATTAACTTCAAGTTTAAATAAATATTCCATAATAAATTCTAATCAGATTAAAGAGGCACTATTTTTAAAATCGTATACGTGCGATGAAGATAAACGTATAATTTTCAAAAAAGAATTCCGCTGGTTTTTTATTTGTCGACAGTACCTCGCTATTGTTTCCTTGTATAATAAAATTCTAAATAATATTGACTATGACCAGAATTCATCACAGCCCTTTCTTTGATCCATAAAGACCATTTGATTTAATTAGTATAAATCCATTACTTCTAAAGTTGGAGAGATGTGGTGTTCGGGGAAATGCCCTTTCTTGTCTTAAAAGCTTCCTGACTTACCGACAACAAAAAATATTAGGAAAGATTGATAGAGTTACTCGTCTAGTTATGAAAATGTGACTCACGGAGTTCCACAGGGTGGTTGTCGGAGCCTCTTCTTTTCGCAATTTCACAAAAATTACTTTGGACTGATTGTTGATAATACCGCAGTATTTATTGTGGTTCTAAATGGGACGAACTAAGCCTCAACGCTGATGTTGTCGTTTAAAATATAATTAATTACAGTCCGCTAATGGATTGGTTTTAAATCACGACAAAACTGAGCTTATATATTTCTTATTCAGAGACTGGTCTGTTAGGTGTATATTGAACAAAAATTGTCGTGTTACTTCAGACCAAGCATCTTTTTTCGCTGGGTAGCTATGTTTAGTTTCTTATTTTTCTAATAATTAATGATGATATTTGGTTTCCATATGTTTGTAGTTAACAATATAGTAAAAAAAGTTAAATTAATAGAGAATTATATAATACATAATTATGTTATTTTGCTAACGGTCAATTTCTCCAATTCTGAACAAGTATTTAAGTTTTGCAAGCGAAATAATTTGCAGTAATCTTATACATGGTGTCCAAAATTTAACTTTGTGCCCTACTGTTTGACTTAAGAGGGAATGTAGTTTTTAATTACCCATCGAATGGTATTAGGATGGTATATATATATATATATATATATATATATATATATATATATATATATATATATATATATATATATATATATATATTCGCATGTATTCGCCTAAGATATTTAGAAATGTCAGATAATTTATTTAGATAGTCAGTCTGGCCATAGTGGTAATATTTTTTGTGATTTTTGAAATTTGTTTGTTGTTGTTTAGTCCAAATAAAGATTTTCCAGTCCCTGAAAATTTTAAAAAAATGCATCCATTATTATTGTTATTATTTGTATTATTTTAACGAGTAACCTTTGGTTTTTAAACATGCCGCAACTTGTACCCCGTTTTTTTCAAACCAGGGCAAGTCTTAATCAATAAATCGACTTTTCGACAAAACCAGATCAAATTGACAACATCAATAAATTATCAGAGATTTCCAAACATTTATACAAAATAAATGATTTAAAAACACAAAATAGCGCCAAAACTAGTTAGTTCGTTATACCATTCGGGGGGGTAATTGAAAAGTAAATTCTCTGGTAAATGGAAAGTATAACATTCCATTTAAATTAATCATGTGACAATTCACTTAAGCTTCTTATTATACTTGAATAAATTGTACAAGTTGGAAAGTTTTTTTATAATAGGGCGATGGCGAGATGCCGCTTTGTTATTAGAATTGCAATTTTCATTTTGAAAAAAATCGAGTTATTCTAAAAAATTTATTGAAAAGGTCACTTATTTTGATCGCTGAAATGCTATGATATACGGGGCTTCCATTTAAAGACATAAGTGAATTATTTTAAAAAGTAACCATTATTGGACCTTTCATATCGCAGAAAAAAGAACTTTTTGAAGTTCTTGTATTTTGGCTACAGTAGTCCGTGCGGTATAGCGCCAAGGAACTTGTATATACATGGTGTCTCCAGATTGATGGAACATTACAAATTTTGAGAAAACAGGACGTAGCAATTGCTGAAAATATATACCTAGTGTTTTTAATTAATGATTTGAAATTGTGAAAATTAATTCAAGAGATTTAGAATGTAAAAAAAATTGAAATGGATGCAAATTATTGAAATAAAATTCTGATTTAAGTTTTAATTAGGATTTAAGTTTTGTTTATTATTTATGGAGAGTGCGGACGGATTAAAATGAAAATGCGTAGAAAGTTTCTATTGGGAATTTCAAGTGGAATCCCAAAGTAAGTAACTAAAGGAATTATGATGAACAAAAAGTTTTTTTTCTTCAAATGGAATACCCTTTTTATTAACAAAAGTTCTGAATATTCTGGCACATAATTAAAATTAAATTGTGTTGACATATTTAGGTGTAATGTACCCATGAAGTGTTATTGATTTACGAAAAATTGACAAAATTCATTACATTGAAAACTATTTTCGACAGTTAAAATGTAAAAAAAGAGAGTTCAATGGATGAAAATTATTGAAATGAAATTCTGATTTAAGTTTTATTATTTATGGAAAGTGTGGACGGAATCCGCATAGAAATTTCAAGGAATTCCAGTGGAATTTCAAAGAATTTCAAAAAAATAATAGGTAATTAAATGACTTATATTAAAAACATTTTCCTCTGCAGAATACATCTTGGTATAAACTGTCGGATTAAATTTTCTACATGCATTTATATCAGTCAACACCCTCCATAAATAATAAAAATTTAACTTAGCATTTCGTTTTAATAATCTTCATCCATTTTAGTTCTTTTTGCTTCACTTTCTAAATCTCCTTAAGAAAGTATATCGCGAATTTTAGGCTTAAAAATATATCAAAATATTTAGATTTTCTTAGAAAACTGCTTTTATTTCGGATCTATTGAGGTATAGGAACATGATATATAAATGGCAAACGATTTTGAATATCTGCCAGATAGACTAACACTTCGTAACGAGTGCAATTTAAAATAAAATAAAGGAAATGGAAGGCAAAGGCCTCTTAGTATTTCTAATAAACAGAGTGATTCATTCGAAAAAATCACTTTTTGTCAATTTTTGTGTAAGGTGGAAAAATGATAATTTTGTATAGATTCTGCACATCTCAAAATTTCAGGTTGCAAATGATTTTACTAACGCACTAATAAAAATATAAATCAGGGTCTGTTTCAGCCGAAAAATATGGAAAATAATTAAACCGCTAGGGGAAGGTATAGTTAAATATTTTACAAAAGGCATCATAAAGTGACAGTAGTTAGAAAAATCAAAATTTACTTTACGAACGGCAATACTGCGATGCTGAAATTATTTTAGATCGATAGAGAGCCAAATACATATGTGACCAAATTTTAACCAAATTGCAATGTCCTGTTTTACCAAAACGTATAATGTTTCATCAACCGTTTCATTACTTTTTAATAAATCTAACCTATTCGTATTCCAACGATTTTTAAGACTTTGACCTCAATGAAGGCGTTGCTGGTTCACAGTCGGGCTCACAAGAGTCTGAAGCCGTATGTTTGCGACACATGTGGCAGGAGTTACTCCCAAACGTCCCATTTATGGCAGCACATGCGCTTCCATCAAGGTAATTATTTTCAGTATTAAAGTGGTCTTACAATGTATAAGATCCATCAAATTAGCAGAACGAGAAATTTACTTATTTTTCTATTTCTCTGGGTTTAGCAAGTAGATTGTCGTTCAGATAACAAAAATATTCAGCTGAACTTCTTCTCTTCTTCTACCTCATCCTCCATAAAGATCTTTGAGTGTATGAAGTAGTGACGTTTCTTTTTTTCGTATTTTCTGGTATGCCTGTTGCTTATTGATCTTTTCATTGTTCCTCGAGAATTGTTTTTGAATTTCGTTCTCATTTCGCGCGTCAGCAATTATTATGTACTTAAATTGAATGAAAGATATTGGTTTCCAAAAATAGAATGAAACAAAAACACACTTAATAAATGAAAGAACACAAAGGAAACAGTTTCGACTGCACCAAGCAAACCAAAAATATTCCATTAACCGATAGCAAATTTCACGTTCGCCGGCAAATTTACCCACAACTAGATTGAAATTTATTGAAATCTAATTAAGGGCAAAAATAATTTTCAAACAGTTGCCAATTTTGCCGTGCGAACGAAACTAATATTTGCTGTGTGGTTTATTGAAAATATTGTTAGCTGCGTATATTGCAGTGAAAAATTTGTCCGCTAAAATTTATAATTTATATCTTAGGTGATTGAGAAGTAGGTCATCTCCGAAAAACAAAATTTTTATTTATAACTGACAGTGACTGTTAGAAATTTAGTAAACCTATGCTCCTTTTATCGTACATAAAATGCTTTATTCGCAACGAGAAAGTTTGTTAAACCAAATAAGAGGGCTAAATTGGCTACGCGTAATTAACCTCTGACTGTACTTTTCAAACAAAAATACTTTCATCGAATCCATGAAAAATTACAACAAACATCCAACCTAGCCTGAAAAAAGAGAACACTTCGTATAATATTACATCCTAATACCTAATTATATCCTAATAGCTATATTTAATAGTTTTCGCAATATTAAATATTGTTAAACGCAATATTAAAAAATATTCTAGAATATATAATTTGGGTAGGTATAAAATAATTTTTCCTTTCAATACATCTGATCTATGTTTTCCGTAATCTTTCTAAAGCGGAAGTGATAGATTGGGAATATTCTTTCTTCATTTAGAATTTGAACTTCTGTACCTAATCAGGTTTTTTAGATGCTCTCTGTTTTCGATTGTTTTCGATTCGTATTTGCGTTTACACGATCTTTTAGAGTTCCATCATTCATCGGCGTCAGGTCAGGACTGTTGGCTGGCCATTTTATTATTCCATCTTTTTCAAATCATTCATTAAATCTTTGATTGAAATATTCTTTAACAACTTCTACACAATGAAAGGGAGCGCCGTTTTGTTGAAAGACGAGGTTTCTTAGTTGTTGAATATTATCCTGTTGTTTAAATTAGCACGCCACACATTTACAGTTTGGCGTTACCCGTTACATAATTTTATCAATGTTGAAATCGTGCTTTATCATTTGCAGATATCTGCCTTCATCCATTTGACATCCATATCAGTTACTATGCTGTTCATATTTCGTATATAATATGCTATGCTTACCGTGTCTAACATATTTTGAATTTCATTTCTATTTATCCGACTGAAAGCTTTTGATGTACATATATTTGGGATTGATTTTCTTATGGGCGTTGATCTAGTGGTCTGTGTTGGTATTCAAAAAATAAATAAATACAGGCTCATCAAAAAGTAACATTAAAAGTAAAAGTAAAATCTTACTTTGCATTTATAAAAAGAATGGCTTTTTATAAGGCTGCTGTAAAAAGGGTAGAATTTGCAATAGGTATTAGCACTAAATCCATTTTTCAGGAAAAAAAAATATTCAGAAGAATCATATAAAAATGAGATTTTCTATAAATATATTTTATTTTTATAATACATAATATTTTTTTGTAAGATTCCTTAAATTTTGAAATTTTCCTAATATTCGCTTAGACAGTATTTCTTGTCTAAGTCTAAAATATTCTTAGGAATTAATACACAGGATGTTCTATTTAAAATACGATTACACACATGAAAGTACAATCATCTTATAATAATACCATATACAAATTCTCTGTTTGAAAGTAGCAACAGCGAAACGTATCAATTTTTCTCTGGCAACCTAAATTTGCTTTCATCTTCTCCTGTCTAATTTTTAAAGCTCGAATAAACATGTTTTGTACACCGACTCCACTAGTATTCGCCAAATATTGAAATTTTAGGAATAAAACCGTTTGCCTGCCCTCACGAAGGATGCGAGGCTAGATATACCATCCGACCGGACCTCAAAGACCACATAAGAAAAGTACACACTAGGGAGCGACCTTTTAAATGTAACGTTTGCAACAAGTGTTTCCTTACCGGCTCTGTCTACTACCAACATCGACTGATCCATACCAATGATCGAAGATACGGTTGCGACGTAAGATTATATTGGAGTTTTTTTGTATTCTATGACCAAACTAATTCCCTGTCGCATGGTGGTATGCCACTACCTAAAATTAAAATTTTAGCTTCTTGTGATGTTGTATAATATGAATATTTATAATTTTCTAAATATTGCCATATAAATGTTTTCCTGAAAAATATATACGTGTTGAAAAAATATTCCGGGATATCATCCGCTCGCTTGTTGAACTCCCGACTCCGAAGTGTTTTCAAAGCGCGAAGATGCCAAGTGGCGAGACGTCCGCAGGATTCCAGTCGGAGTTCAACATAAAATTTTCAAGTATAAATCGATCGAAATTAACAAAAATGCAAATGTGCATTTTCGTTAATATGAAAAATTATTAATATTAATGTTATTTTAAATAAAGCCAAAACTATTTTTCTATAATTAAAACCGTTCTTCGTAAATCTTATAATTTTTTGCCTATACTACAGATCTATTTGAATAAATATAAATCAAAAATCGTAATAAAAATTTTTATTCGCGGATCGGCACATCAAAACATACATAGCAAATTGCAAAACATAAAATATACAGATTTTAGTTACATAATATGTTCGATTTAAAAAAAAAGAATAATTCAATTAATGATTCAACAATAACCATTGATACATTCAGATAATAGCAACGTTCACAACATGCAATTCGTAAATTAACAAACCATTCCTTGCAGTTGTAAAAACAATTAATAACTAAATGTTTTCAATTTTTTTTAGTAATACCTTTTTTAACTTCATTAATTAAATCATTTACCAATGGAAACTGGTCTTATACATTTTGGCCACCCTATTGACATTATGACATCAAACAAGTAACACTAAATAGGTTAGAATAAAATATTTCAAATTTTGTGCTTTCTTAACCATATAGGGTGCAGCATCCGATAAAAGGATTCTCTATTATTAGAAAAAATGCATTTTTTTCTACCAAACATGCAAAAATGCATAACCACCTAAGATTTTTGCTTCTTTTTGCTAATTAACTTCTTAATTAATAATTGCTATTGTTGGTTGGTTTTGCACCATAACGTTGCACCATGTGTGAAACAGATATACTACATAAGTTTTGTATCTAGCGACCTGCATTGCATGGACAAATGGTACAAAATTTATTATTCGTTATCTGCAAAAACCTAAGCAAAACTTAGTTAAGAAAACCATAGAAATTTCCCAAAAAAATCTGGATCGATCAAACAAAAATTTGTAGGCAAATAGCAGTAAACTCATTGCATATAAACGGCCCATTTTCAAAACACCCTGTACACCTAACAATTTTTATATTTTAGATTTGCAAAAAGAGGTTTTTTAGAGCGGACGCTTTGAATAACCATAGAAGGATCCACACGGATGAGAGGCCGTATCCTTGTAACGTGTGCGGCAGGGAATTTAGACAGAAGGGTGATAGAAATAAGCACGCACGCACCCAACATTTTAAAGTTATGCATCGTTAATTGACTATTTTAATTGGTTTATTGTTCATTGTTTTCTGTGCTGGTTGTTATGTAATTTTATAGTTTCAAGAGTAATTTCTAAAGTGTATTCCTTGGTAACTAATAAAGAGTTATGGAGCTGTTTATCGGTGGTTTCAATGTTATCATTTTCATCAGTAACATCAAGTATTTCAGCCCTTTTTTAATTAAATAATTTAAAGCTGGGTAGGTATAAACTCCTGTTTATTAACTTGAGAAAATGAGATATAATGGACACAGACCCCAGCTAAAATTCTTATTGCTATGTTAATTCAATAATTAAAACACATGAATTTTCCCATATAGTGAATACTAGTTCCCTGTATTGTAACAACTTATTCGGTGTACAGGGTGGTCAGTTAAGAATGCAAAGTGCTGTATCTCGAAAACTATTCGTCGTAGAATTATTCACTAAAATCCTTTTAAAAGCCAAACTTTATACGAGTAAACCACTATACTGATTTTAACAAACATGGTATCGTTAAAAAAAAATTATTTGTCTAGTTCATAGTGATCCCGCTAGAGTGCGTTCTTTGATAAATTAACAGAAAATTGCTAAATTCTCTAAAAAATTAAATGCGATAATATGACTTTTCCATAAAAACGTTGTGAAATGATACCCAAATAAGCTGCTGAAAACCGAATGTTGATATCTTATTTCTAGCCTTAAATATCCAAGAAAGCAAATTTAAATATTATAAACTTTTAAAAAGTCGATATTACACCGTATTTTGAAACAACAAAATAATCTTAGTTCAAAAAAATAGAGAGTGACCCAATGGGAAAACAAATAACTAAAATCGACTTGTCAACAAAGTTTGTATTAAAATTATATTTATTATAAAAGCTGTGCAATTTGTTTTTGTTGAACTGTCGATATGATTGGGGTATATTTTTAATATCTTCAAAATGGCTCAAAGAGTATACAGAGCTAGATATCCAATCGGCCTTTTCCGTGCGAAATTTGCGTAATTTTGGAAGCCTTTGACTTCAGTTGTGAAGATGATGATGGCTATACCAACGAAAGAGAATGAGAGCAATATCTCTGCGAAAATAAAAACTTTAGATGAGGCCACTTTTGGAAATGAATGAATGAAAATTTAATCTGCATAACATCCATTTTTGATCGCACAAAAACCCTCACTGGTTGCGCGAGGTCGAACATCAAGGTCATTGAAGTCTCAATATATGATATGCCATCCTGGGTGAAACTATTATAGTTCCCTATTACTTAGATCAGCCACTAAATGCTGAGGTGTTTCACGACTTTCTGGTAAACCAATTGCCTATTTTACTAGAAAATATGCCGCTGCAATTACGGCAAAAATATGTTTTTCCAACTAAATGTCCGAGATCATTGAAATTAAACATATTACCAGAGCTGGATTGCACGACTAAGTCAGTAAGAATATATTGTTTACCAACTGCCACCAACGACGAGAGACAACGTGAAAATACAAATACAAGACGCTATTTGTAGCCTGTCAGAAGCAGAAATTGAAGCCGCTGTAACGTCCACGCATCAGCGGCTTCGTCAATTCATTCAACATTTAAGGAGACATTAGTTTTATTTCAAAATCGGTCCTTTTTCCTTCTTGTGCCTCTACACGTTTTTTGTTAATTTTATGAATTAAGAATATTTTTATTATTTTTGAATCATAGAATTATGAACTTTTATCATTGAATCTTGAAAAAATACAAATAAATAAGAATAATTAGCGGTGTAATAACGACTTTATTTCAAGATAACTAAATTATGCTCGTACCACATTTTAGGTTAGGAATAAGATATCAATATACGGCTTTCAGTTGCCTATTTTATTATATTAAAGAATGCGGGAACTAGGGTTTGATAGAGCAGAGAGAGAGAGAGAGAGAGAGAGAGAGAGAGAGAGAGAGAGTTTTTTAACGGGACCAAGTTTGTTAAAAATCATAAGTCACGCTCACCATTTTATTTTGATAGATATGTCAAAAAGTATTAAACAAAATTTACTGCAATAAAGTTTAACTTTTAAAAACAGATATTTTTTGTTACATCTACTAGAAGGATTACAGAGAAAAATAACTTTTAAAGTTTAAAATAGCCGTTACGCTCCCGACCATCTTTAAAATCAAAATGTGATTTCCACGGTTTTCTTTTGACCACTTTTATAATAAGTTTTTTCACCGCAAATCTCTTCAACGAATAGTTTTCGAGTTACAGCACTTTACATTCTTATCTGATCATCCAAAACAGTGTGCTCAATTTTCGTTTTTATTGTGGATCATGTCAGTTATGCTTTGAGATAAAGTGATGGGATTTTCGTAATACAGAAAATTTGACTATTTCAGTTACCCGTTAGAAAAGGTTTTTTAGTTGAGTGGCGTACTCAGATTTTATGTAATTTGATTTTTTTTTAAAATAGAGTATTCTATAATTGTTGTTATTTATTGCCCTTTTTATACGTTTTCCAAAAATCTATAATTGTCCAAATATTTTTATAAATAAACATATATTTTAACATTTTAGATAATGTACATGTTTTCTATCGTAATGCTATTCCAGTTAACATTTTATTCTTATGCTATAATAAATTTAAAAAATAAGAGTATTCCATGTTACATTATTGTCACAGTTCATGTGACTTCTGATCCGACTCTAATTTATTTATTTTTTATATTCTGTAGTTAAAATAAAAGCATAACTGTAGCTCGTATCTTAAAAGTTCGTAAAAAGATCTATAACATACCTTTGTTATATAGGGTGCTTAAAATTACAAAGGCAACTGAAATAGCCAAATTTTCTGTTTTTCCCTGTACTTCAAAAATAAAGCCAGCTAGGATTGTGTTGAAACCGACATCTTTTGTTTCACGAAAATCCAGTAATAGTTGTCGAGGTGTTTACAGAATGGTAATTTTTTCAATCTTGTTGTGTTGCTGAAGGATCGGCTGCCAAAACTACTTAGATACTTTACTTTCACTAAATACAAACCAACGTGTCGTCTCTTTTTTAATATCCGTCCGGCTGGGCGTCTTTTGAAAAAACATTCTTGTAGCAACTTTTGTGTGCTAATTGCCGTGTCCTTACCAATGAAAAAATAGAGAAGTTTGTCTTAATCTCTAATATTTTTAAATCTTTACCAAATATACAAATACCTAATTAAATGTAAAAAATAAAAATAGTATTTAGTGGTAAGATTTTTATGCGCTGTACATACTGGGTGTTTCAGTAATGGCAAACAGGTATTTGACGGTTCTAAACATTTGAAACAAAATTAAGCAAATCAGTCTAGAGGAAATGCTGGTGTCTCTGAGGGAGTAATTTCATCTAGATGTTTAAACTCCGTTTCGATTGGTTAGCAAACCTTCGATTCTAATATGGACTATTATTAGTCTTTGCCTGTTCCTCAAAGTATCTTAATACCAGATGACACACCTTCGACATTGTTGGTACTATATAGTTTGATAAATGCCATTTTAACCACGGGTGACTGAAGAAGTTTATCACTATGTCGCATGTTATAATTTTTGTATGACCATTTGTTTTTCAAAATATCACGAATAAATTTGCGGGTTCCGCCTCCGTCCCATTTTATGTTAAATAATATTCAGTGTTCTGGTATAGTTGAATGCATAGGTGCATAATTAAGAGGGTTCAGAAGAATTATTTTTAAAAAATAGGCAGAAGTCGCTACACACTCGGAGGACTCAAAATCGCAACTGACGCGGCTTTAATTGCAGTTATCTCCACACGCCAGTCACTAGGGTTTATTCGACAAATAATACCCTCCCGCAAGAAAAAACGAACAAAAGAAACGACGTAATCTCCTCTCGATCAAAATATCGCTCCATCGCACGCAAGCGTCTCCACATTGAGCAGAGCCCAACACTCATTGCGCAAGTTTAAACATTCCTTCAATTAATCTGGCGCCGTTCTGTAAAACGCGAGTCTCTAGAAAGATGGCGGCGGGCACCAGAGTTTCCCGCATTAAATCCCTGGCGACGCGCGGACCCTCCTTCGAAATAATCGTCCATTTTTAAACTGTCGTTACAGCCGCGACTCACGGTGATGGTGCTAAAGGTAACGGACATTTGACGACCAAGCTGGGAAATATGGTTGCGGTATCACACACCAGCAATTTTCTCGGTACGTAAACTGACGTCCGATGGTACTTTTATTCTAAACTGGTATCGAGAACAAATGGTAAAAAATACCGTTTGTTACTTATCTAGTTCGTGTAATTTGCTAGAGATGGACGAAATGTCCCGATTGATTTTTCTATCGCAGCGGTGTCCCCAGTGACCTACATTCTGGGTGATTCGGATTAGGCAAATAGGTTAAATTGTTATCGGAACTGCGCTCTATGAAACGGAGTCAAATTTGAATTTGAGCTTTATTTCGAGGGAGAAAGGAAAGTTTATTCAATTTCTTTCAATTTCAATTTCCTTAGAGCAGAAACATTTTCGACTCAAATATGTCTTTACTTTTAACGAACATGTAATACTAAATTTCAAAATAGTTATATTTGTTCAACGAATATAATATCTAATGTTAAAATATGTCATTAACGTCATATTAATGACATTTAAAAAAATAAAAACACAGGATATCTGAAAAAGATGAGCAAGCAATTTAAGGGCTGATTCTACTAGATTATTATACCTGGTTTGTTAATGTGAGAGAATAAGATAATTTATATTTGCGGTGACAGGTATCGTTAAACAGGGTTGACAACTTAAAGTAAAGTTCAGATAAATTGCAATGATAGTGTCCGATAAATTTCGTACTTCGGTGATAAAAATAATAAATATAATAAGAAATATTCATTAATTATCGAGGCTAGGTAAGTGAGATATTAATTATTCGGAGTAAATAAAAGAGTGGAGAAGAGAATAATTTTCCAAATTCTAGACAACGCAATTTTACTAATCTCAGCAATAATTTGAGAAACACTAGCTACTTTCAAGAACGAGCATTACCAACAAACACCGGAGAGTATATAATTCTAATTTTATACACTAGAGGTAGGTCAACTACCAGTACGTCTACCTGCCACTCTCAGGACCCTTGACTATTTACAGTTCAATAATGATTTAAAATTCTCCCGTTAAGAGGCAGACCAGAATAGCTAACAGGTCTACGCCAGATTTAGTCCAAAAATGCACCGAAAGCTTAGTGTTTCAATTTCACTTAGTATAAAATTCTGTTGGTGTTGGTACAGAGGACCTGCCTATGCTGATAATACTGCGCAGCATTTGAAATTTTGAAGTCTGGTTTCAACCGATAAGGCTTAGCGAAGTTTGCAAGCGAGTTAGTAATAAGTGTGCTATATTTAAAGTTAAGTGGCAAACTACAAATAAAATTATCAAGAAAAAATAATTAAAAGAAATTGTTTTGACATATAGACCCGTACTGTGCGTATGCGCATTTCAAATCTCACTTTCGACCAATAAGACAGCGTTCAACAATCAACATTCCTGCTGAAAGTTCGCCAATTCGAAACGTTTCATTTATACCGCAGTATTTTTTTGCAAAATGTCAAAATCTCGTTAAATGTTCTAGAAAAACGATTTAAGGGTGTGAAGATCGCTGTTTAGAAAAAAAATGGTGCAAAGTGCAGTTATTGGGTGGAATTTAGGTGCATGCGCATAGCTATAGGGAGACACCGTTAGTAGCAAGAGCATCACGAAAGTCGCAGCCCTAAAAATGACAAAAAATGGAAAAAAAGTTTTTTTTTTTAATCTGTTAGTTACAAAAAAAAACTTTTTTTATTTTGTTGGAACTCGTATTGTAAAATGCTTCAAAAAATTTTAAAGGCCAATATTGTTTGAATTCACTTATACTTTTATATTTTAATATTGTGGTATAACAATATACAGGAATGTTGGTATTTTTAAAATTCAAAATATGGCATAAACCGTAAGAACTATAGTCTTTAGTGCCTTGGTCTAGAAACGCTAGTTTACTTCAACATTTTTAATGATTAAAAAAGGAAACACAGTCTTTTTTGACAAAAATATAGTTTTCTACTTCTTAGTTTAAAATAACCGATTATGCATTGACGAGGACTGCGCAAACTGTCACTTTAAAACGTCGGCTTTGTTGAACACTGATGTTGCCAGTTATCGGATGTTTTCGCTAGATTTTATGCGCTTATGGTGTTTTGTCATTTGTTAGTTTAGGCACATCACTCAGTGTATATATTCATGCTAAACATTCATGTTGAATTTAAAGCTGCCAACATTAGGTCACTTGTTGGCAATATTAGGTATTTGATCTCACGTGTTTTAAAGATAGAATACTCCAGATAAACAAATGCTAACAATACAGGGTGTCCATTAATACGTGGAAATTTTGAAAAAATTCGACCCTATAGTATACTTTTTAACAGATTTAATAAAACTTCAGAATTCATATTTAAAGAAACATATAATAATTAATTATCTAGCTTTGTTGAAAATAACAAAAATAAATAATTAAAGTTTATAGGCTAACAAAACAAGGTAACAAAGTTGAATAAATAAATCTATAAAACAAAAAAATGCAGAAACAAATAACTAAAAAAAAACTTAAATATGCTGATACTGTTTTCATTATATTGTCCATCCTCTGCAATACACATTGTATAGCTCGTCATTATGCTGGAGTTCGCATTTCGAACCGCATCACTATTATTTAATGCAAGAATCTCTTGTCTAATTTTTTCCTTAAGGTCATCAACTGTATAGTTATTTCAGAATTTGTACACACGATCCTTTAAAATGCCGCATTAAAAAAGGCCATGGATGTAAAATCGAAACTTGGCGGTGGTCACGCAATGCCGCCATTTTTATCAATTATATTTTGGAAATTTACTCTTAAAAAAATTATCATTTGATGGCCACAATGATAGGACGCGCTATCTTGCTGAAATACGATGTGGTCCCGCAAGTTGTCGGGGGTTGTTTACTTCTGGCAGTATTTTAAAGCAAAATTTAAAAAATCCCTTAATTCTATCCCTTATAACACCGCTCCACACTTTAACACTCCGATAACTCTGCTTATTATTTTGTTCATTAAAAACTTATTCTCTGTTGAATCATAATGGCAATTTTTTATTGTGCAAGCCGGATGTCGTTAAAATCGCCTCATCGGTCCATAATTTTATTTGGACTGATGTACACACGGTGTACATATTAAACCAAGAAGTCAATTTGCCATGAAAAATATTGGATATAAAAGAAAAATGAAATGAAGCATACATTCATGGATACAAATTATAGTTTTCGTGTTTGGAAAATTTTTCTTGAAACTTATAGGGGGTCACTTATTCTTGGTGTGAAAATATTAGTACTTCCATTTTTCAGAGCGTTAAACTTTTGTTTCGAATAACATTTTTATTTCCAAATCGCGCAACTTTTCACATATTTTGTTGAAACTTGGTGCGTATAATTGGCCTGTTAGGTTACACTTTTCAGGTAAATTTTGTAAATAAATACAGATTACGCAGGTCTACAGTGATTTTGATGTTTGAAAGCTGTTTGCTCATTTTTATATTTTTGGGGGGCCCTTTTTTCAAAAAACGCCATATATCGCGTCATTTTTTTTATAACGCTCTATATCTAAAAAATGTTATTTTATTAATATACATACATAACTATGACATGCAGGTATGATTATTAAATAAATTGGTTTTTATGAAATTAAATGTGATTTGGCAACAATGGATAATGTTAGATTTCTCTCCAAAGCAACAGCGTTGGCGCAGAAGCCTCAATACAGCGTTGTAACCTTATTATGCGCAGTTTGGTTGTATTGGTCGTCGTGCTGCTGTGTTCGCGGCTATTGTCTTTATTCTTGCGTATTTCTAGTATTCTAAAATGTATAAATATGGAAAGAAGACATTGTGTGAACAATTCAAATAACTTTTGTTATATCTGTGGTTATGTCGTAGCAAAGCAAAAGCAAACTATAGCTTCTACTGTGAAAAATGTATACGACGCTTATTTTGGGCATAAAAATTGGCGACCAAGACAAGTCCTGAATTTGGCCACTTCCAACGAATATTTGCTACCTAGAGTGATTGGGTCACAATCTTAACTGCTTATCCATTAATGGATTTTTGCGACCACATTTTCCATAACTTGTCTACCTCTGGCCGTGTGAATCAATGTCTGAATGTCACGTATGCCAGTCCACTGTCTCACGTTCCTCAGCCATTCTCTTTCGCCATAGTCTCTTCTACCCTTGATCTTGCCCTCAATAATCAGTTGCGGAAATTTATATTTATGATTGCACATTATGTGCCTCAGGTATGAAGTATTTCATTTTTTTACAACGTTAAAGAGCTCGCGATCTTTGTTAATACGCCTGAGAACATCTTCGTTTCTCGTTCTGGCTGTCTGTGGTATCTTAAGAATTCTGCGGTATATCCACAGCTCAAATGCTTCCAATTTGTTTATGGCTTTTACTATTAGTGTCCAGCCTTCAACACCGTACAGAAGCACCGGGCAAACATAGCAGCCCACAAATCTCAACCGAAGACCAAGGTCAAAGTCGCTACAAGTGAATACTTTTTTGAATTTTAACAATGAGCCTCGAGCCATTCTGATAACCATGAATTTAGTTTTATTTGTGCTCATGTTCTATTCCATATTCTGGCTACAGTTTTCCACCATATTAACAATCTGTTGCAGATCATCCATGTGGTCCGCAATCAGAACAGTGTGACTTTGATCCCAATTTCCTTGTCCTCAAGTGACTCCTAAAATTGGCTTCTGAATATAGGTTAAACATGAGCCGCGACAGTATACACCCCTGCCGCACTCCTCGACGAATTTGGATTTGATTTGGTTAGCCGCCCTAACCTGTGCTGATTGGTGCCAGAATAAGTTTTCAATGCAACGAATGTCTTTTTGATCCAAATCAAGTCTTTTAAAGCTGCGTAAGTTTATGATGATTTACTTTGTCAAAAGCCTTATCGTAGTCTATGAAACATAAACACACGTTTTTCCGCTGGTCATAGTAATTCTGTACTAATACTTGCTTTGCAACTAACTTCCTTGTACCCAGCCCCTGTCTAAATCCAAACTGCGAGTCGCTTATGGCATTAATGCATTTTTTATACAATCGCTGATGTATTATCCTCAGGAATATTTTTAAGGAATGACGTGTGTGTTGAAGTTAGCCACTTTTCCGGGTTTCGCTCAGCGTCATATATTTGGTTGAATAACTTGTAAAGTACGGCAATGCCGCTGTCGTCTAAAAGTTTGAGCATTTCTGATGGTCTCTCATCCGCACCAACAGCCTTATTATTTTTAGAGATTTATATAGCATTTTTTTATCTCTTCTTTAGTAATAGATTATTTCCTGCTATGGGTTCTTTAGTCGATCTGTTGTTATGAAAGAAGTTTTCAACATAGTTCTCCCTTATTTTGCACTTTTCGGTATCGTATATCGCATATTGGTTATTTTCATTGACATATTTATTATCATATTTAGGCTTGGCTTTTTAAATATTCCAGTGGATTCTTTGAGTTTTTTATGAGGGTTCATAAAAATTTTATTTACCTCAGGATTATACCTAAAATATGATATACATGAAAAAATGTTAAAGAGATATAAGATTTACTTTTCCAGAATTTAATATGATACCCAACGTAAATCTCCATGTATTTTCATCGAAACTTTTCCTACTAGGGAATTAATGAAGTTAAAATATATTTTTTTTCGAAAGCAACGATAGAATCACAAAAAATAAAATGCAAGGCAAGTTTGATGTTTATCGCGGAAATGGTCTCCTGAGACAATTGCGTGAAACAATATTCTACCGTAATAATTGGCGCGTTGGGAATTGCATGACCGATCAAACTAATCCTGTGTAATGTTAGTTAGCGATTATAAAAAATGGATCGATTGGAGAAGCCATGCTACACTGAGTGTTCCTTAATAGCTCGTGAATACTGAAGGGGATAATTCCTGAACGTATCCTAAGAAAATGATTTCATATGAAGGCATGTCCTAAACGTCTTAACTTTTGGTATACACAGTGATAAAGTTCTTCACTTCACTTCTACATTCACATATAGTATCTCTAGTGAACAACATCACGAGAATAGAATAGAACGAAATTGAATTCGTAATAAGATATATATGAGACATTAAAGCAACAATTAATTTAACACACAATAAAAAATGTGAAAAACAGAGTCACAGCTTAATAACGAATCTCAAATATTTTTCCAAATTGTAGAAACATTGGCTCAGAAGATACAATTTAACATTTTTCTTGAAGTTTTGAAAATTAAGCATGTTAATTTTAACCGGGAGGTAATTAAAAATCGATTCAATTTACAATACACAATTTTCAATTTACAATTTACAAGTCAGAAAAAAGTATATAATTATAAGTAAAGTTATAACATAATATGATACAAAATCAAAGAAAATAAAGCGAACAGAATGCATGGCAGAGGCATAATTCTTTGTTGATGAAATAAAGGTCGATAAGACTCGCGATCACCGCGTTTTGCATTATAAAAGCTCTTTTTGCAACAGTGCTGCTTCGCTAGACTACTACGCCATATGGCAGCCTTGAATGTAAATGACCAAGTAAACTGATTATGCCAATAATATGTTAATTTGAAATTTGGAATGTCTGGTGTTTTGCTGTATTCAGAAGAAGTACTGCATCCAACTCGGTTACAGATGAATAGCTGAAGGTAGTCGTAGCTCAGCACTATGTGGAATGCGTTTAATTGTAAACGAACCAGGTGTGTAGTTAAAGACGAAGTTTTTTTAGTTCAACACTAAAACATTGTTTACCCAGGTTCAAAGGCTCATTAGGCAAAAACGTTCTAAACCAATTTATACGGAAAGGAAAAAGACCTTCTTATTTTCATTAAAAGTTTCGGAAAACTTGCCGTTAAACTAGCTATTCTACAAAAATAACATAGCAATCTGAAAAAATTTTCACACAAAATCGCACTTTGCCCTTCTGTCCGACGCTGCATAGGCACATTAACATGGGCTAATACATAATCGTAAAAGATGTTCTATAATCTAGGTTCTGATCCGTATTCTCTTTATAGTGTGAATAATCTTAAGTTCACCAGAAGACCGACTCTCTGTAGAGTAGCTTCTCCGAATTTATTCTACGTGAATCTACATAAATGGCATGAATTGATAATCAAGAACTATTTAATGTATCGAGTGCTCTTGTATGATATTGGTTAGGGACTATTTATGTCGAGATATCATATTGCATATATTGCCCCATTAGCTATAATTATTTTCTCCAAATTGTTTAGAAGCGTATTCTATTATCTTATAAAGTTTTATGTTCTTCAAACTTTGCACACACGTCGCAAGACTATTGCAACAATTTTTGTTTAAAGAAAGTGTAGCTCGACAATTTTTATTCTTCCACAATATTTTTTCGGGATTAGATTTGTATATTTATAGTTACCCATCAACCGCAGTTCATACATCTACAAAATTCTTTTATCATTTTATCAAAATCGCATTAGATGACGGTTTGTATATGCAAAAATGTCCTTTGATAACTGATAATACTAATTTATGGCCAAATAATTTCATTCGAGGGTCAGCTAATTCAACGAGATAATATAATATCTATAGACACTATTGCGCGACGTGGTAAATCTTTGACCCAAATGTGTCTTCTTATATTACTGTTAAATGGTACCGTAACTACTAAGAAATTTCGCCAGTTTTCATATTAAGGAATTCCTTCCTATCGGTAAGAGTATGGACTATGGGTGTGATCCTTTCTTCCATTCGGTCACTGTTGATTTTATCATAGCTCTCCTTTGTGCCGGTAAAACGAAATTCGGCTAAAAGGCTTCACTTGGCTGATAGAACAACTGCGTGAACTACCATGAAAATAAAACGGCAAGAATTTTAAAGAATGATCTAGAATAGTCGACTACCAACATTCCTTCAAATATTATGACAGTAATTCACGAAATTGAAAACTTAAAACTCAACAACAGTGATCGTTTATAAGTTTTAAAAGAATGGAATTTTATTTTGGAATGGAATTTTATTTTGGAATATTATCTTTGAGTTGCTTTGACAGTATTACAACTTGCATTTTGTTATGTATTGCATTTTTAATCCAAGAATAAAGTAGTAACATAATTTATCATAACTAGTTTGAAGCTTAAGATCAACATTAAAAATATTTGCAATCTTTTTCAAATTTCAAGTTTATAACAACAATTGTCAATCTGTATTATCAAGCTATATTTCGCAAACCATCAAGATTAATTATTTCACCCGTTTGACTCTAGTATTTGTAAGACACCCGGATTATAGTTTATTTTGCCAACTCAAATAACCATTTTATCATTTGTTATAGTAATTGTGTATTTCATTAGTTTGTTCCAAGTGTACTTTAAATTATTTTCAGAAAAGGACGGGGCAATTTTCGGGGCCCTGATCGGCTGTTCTGCATTTCTGGTGTTATTATTTTTGTATGCCAGAAACAAAGGATGGTGGTCGGGCTCGGTGAGAAACATAGCCATAGCATGTTGCGACGAAGCTTGTCCACCAGTGTCTGGAAAGCCAAGGACGAATTCGATAGTTGACCATAGCTCCAGCGTGAGTTTTTACAAACCATCTACCACCGCATTGGGTAAGCTGTCAACTGATACCTAATGATAAGATTTTCTGTTTTGTGTGTAAATTCTTTTTTTGCTTCGCTCCTCTTATTTGATATTGTTTTTTTTTTGTTCATTTCAATGGCAGTTTTTTTCAAAATTGGGGGTTGTAGTAGACACTAACCGCTTTGAGCACACATTAAGTCCTTTATAGTTAAGTAAATTCAGTTCGATATACCTAAATATCATTCACCAAATACCAAATGTTTACCAACTACCATTATTACATTAATGATCATCTCGGCTTTATTATCCCGGCATTATAATCCTTTGGATCATATCATGAAAAGTGAATTTCGATTAGGATTGTATGACCACTTTATTAACACCGGTAGCAACTTTTTGTATCAGCTGCTTGTTGAGCTTATGTTTTGTTGCGAGAATTTATAGTTTTCTGAAAATTCATAATAATGAGTTTGCACGTAGTACTTTCTATTGAACAGTAACAAATTGAAAAAATATAAATACGAGAACATTAATTTCATTATTTTCTCCATGATTCTATTGTTTTATAAAGTTGGGAAATTAGGGAATACGAAACTAATACGTATGGAATTACAACAACCTTTTATAAATTTTTACTTTTTAAATCTCAGCTTACAAGTATTTAAAACTTGGTTTAGTGTTAGATGTAAACTACAAAACTTCCACATATTAACAATAATTTTAATTTTAAAAAATGTTATCTGGTCGTTACATGAAATAAATATTTTGTGTTTATTAGTTTATTAGTTTAAGTTACATTTTGGTAGCGATTTTGACTGCTGAATTATTGTTTTACCGAGGTCCTCCAACTATACTCTTTGTGGTACTTATAAACCCATAAAATTCGTTCATTTTATTGGAACGAACAAGATTTCAGTTATTGGACTATGTTATTATGTAAATTTGTTGTCAAATATGGCCACGAATTTGTTTCGGTTGCTTGGGTTTATGTCTATTTTGTTTTCCTTTCAACATTTGAAATGCTATATTTTTCCTATTTTTGATGTAATTTTTGTTATTGTTCTAGAAATTTGGATTAATAATTAGAATATTTAAAAGGTTTTGTTTACATCCTGTCGTCTATTATTTGATAGAAGTAAGATGGGTATTAAATGCATATATACCACATTATTCGAGGTAATTTATGATACAAGTGGTAATTTAGTTTGCGCAGAGCCACTAGTGAAATCCCCATCGGTTTACAAAATATCTGTTCATTTTTCAACTTTTCTAATTTTTTTAGATCCCGCCTAACATAAGAAACACAAACCACGAAACTTCCACATTTTAACAATAATTTTAATTTGTCATATTACAAACAGTTACTTTGTAGTTATTTGAAATACAAATTTACAATATAATTAATATAACATAAAAATAATAATAAAAAAAGAAATTATTGCAATTTGTCAAATAAAGCTTTTTTCCCTTTTTTTAAATGAACAAACCATTAAATATAAAATAACACGTTCACGAATGGAGTTGAAAAATTTCGATAATAAAATTTGATTAATTTCTCTCTGGCTGCTTGTATCTCATAATCTTCAAATGATAAGACCAAGCTTTTCAGTAAGCACTTCTCACGGAGATGCTGGCGACTCAAGTACGGAATCGGAAATCACCGGCACCAGCAGTCGAAAAAATTCCGAACCGCTTCCAGCAGGTCCACCACCCCCTTTCTTGCCACCACGCCAAGACATCATATCACTCGTCGAAAAGGGAAGAATAGGCATAAGCAGCAACAGCTCGTGCTGCAGCTCGACGACAAGTTCTGTTGGAGATCGACAAACGGTGATTTCCGTGGCCAAGGTGATAGCTGAGGTCAACCCTGCCATGCAAGAGTAGGTGGAATATTTTTTTATCTCGGCATGTTGATGTTGTCTAGCGAGCAAATGTTTATTTTACTTCTTTTTTTTTTTACTACTTTCACTTCTATGCCGACGTTTTGACAGTTTATTACGTTATCCTCAGAGCAACTACAATGGACATATGAGAGTTATTAAAGTTGTGTAATTTTCAATAGAGGTATTTCTTAACTTAATTAATAATTAATAAGAAGTTTTTCACAAACTTTATGGACAAACTCCTATTATGGCATTACTTGCAAGAGTATCATTGACAACTAAAACATTAAACGTCTAAAAATTTTGAAAAAGTCAGAAAACGAGGAGATAAAAATGTGCGTTTTTGTTTTAATTTTTAATTAACATTGTGAATTTTTCTAAATATATTCAAGGTTCTTAAAAGGGACAGGGAACTATGAGAGTCTGCTTGATAGGACAATACTCCGCATTCATGAAAGTTAATTAAGTGTAACCTTATTTCTTTTGTTTTGCAAGCTACGGAATTATAATCAAACTGCAGTATTTTGTAGACAAGGTTTCTAACACATTTTTTGAAGGTTTTATTTTTAATTTGGGGACATATTTACTAACAATGTTGCAATTATGCACGCGTGCGCAAGATGCAACAATGACGTTTGTTTTTTAGAAACTAACGGTCGTAGAAACAATATAGTATACAACACGTTTCTTAAACTTTTTAAGTCACTTGTTTAATATATATATATATATATATATATGTATATATATATATATATATATATATATATATATATATATATATATATATATATATATATATATATATATATATATATATATATATATATATATATATATATATATATATATATATATATATGCCGTTTACTACACTTGTTGCATAATATACTACAAATGTCTGTCAGTTTTGATGATCACTAAGTCAATGTTTTGGTGCTGGGTTGCACAAATATGCCCAAAATTTAATTGTCGTAGAAAAAGTATAGTCTGCAACACATTTAAAAACTTTTTTCTTACACTTGCTCCTACTTTTATGCTACTATTATTTGCTTGTAGAAAGACACTTTTAGTCAAGGCAGCGGTGCTTGGAGTTACCCTGTACTGGGACCAGCATTCATGTCTGTTTCTAACACATTTTGTTTCTTATATTATATACGTATTGCTTCTTGCAATTTCATCTAAAAACGTGATCGATGTCTAGGAATGAAGACCTCTGTACTAAATAAAGCAAAAAAGTTCCAAATTTTGTGAACTAAACATCAACGAATCAAAATTACATTAAATTTACAATATTTTCCGAAAATCAACAAAATTCACGCCCCGTGATGTCGGGAGGAGTTAGGAGCAATAATCTCAAACTTCTCCAACATGTATAGAAAATACGAGAAAATAACAGAACATCGTCAGACTGTAGGCAAACAAGCATGTCGAATGGGTTGAGCACAGTCCTGACCTCGCCCTGTCTGCGTTCCAAGAACTTGAGAGATCTACAAACTGCAGCTTCAACCACTTTATGCACAATATTGGACTCGCCAAAAATGACGGGTGCCGGTTGTGCATGACGTATGAGGAAACGGCAGAGCACATATTGTGCAGTTGCTCGGAAGAGGGAAGAATCAAGTCCTTAGGCTTGAGGATCTGAACGAAATTCCCCCGTATAACACAGCATAGTGGACTTTCTGAGAGTGCCGAATCTGAAGGGGAGTGAATACTTGGGAGTGTGCCGCAATAGATCACCAGTGTCAGTGGAATAAATCCTAAATCCTAATCTGACCTGAAACCTGTCGAATTAACGAACTGTCAGCGGCCCTGTTAGCTGTTGAACGCAACATTTTTTTCATCATCGCTAAAAAAATCCTGTATATATCTAGTGACTAGATAATAATAAACATCCTACACAGGACCTCCAAAATTAAATATGATGAAATAATAAATTTAAGGTACCATAAATTTAATTAAAATTGCAAAGTACACCCGCTATTTTGTTGCCTTGTAATAAGGTTTCATTTATAATCAATCTATTATCTTATTTTTTTTTAGCTCATTCTTCCAAAAAAAAAATAGTTAAAACTTTACTTTGTTCTAGCCTAACATTATTTTTGTACATCCCAATCTAAATAAGTCATACTTTTATAAATTGCTTTTCAATAAATTTATTTTAAACCGTCGATTTAAAAAAAAATCTAATAGAAATTGTCAAAGTTGATGGAAATAATTTAAAAACCAAATAAAGTTTTTTTACAATTGCAAGAGATTTTATTACAATTATAACATACAACAACAAAAATATTAATAAAAAATGACCTCTTATGATGCAGACACCGTATTATTTCATAACTTGACATAGGTATGCTACAAAGAGACTTAACTATAGGACAACTAAAAAATATATTTTCTGCTAAACTAAAAAATCGAGATCAATTTCAGTTTTGGTTTTAGTGAATATTAATAGGCTTTAGAAATTTTTAGAGTTATAATATTTTTGTCCGGAAAAGACAATGCAATAGCACAGGAAAGAGATGGATATTGTTTAGTGGCTAAAAGGAGATTTTGTTGGAAGCGAGCACTGTCCCATGGGAGATTTTGATGAACTGAAAAAAATTCTTGCAGCTGATTCCGTAATGGATATAGGCGATGCCTTTCCATAACGTTCTAAAAACTTCATTAGACGGACTAAATATAATTTGCATACCTAAGGAGATTTTATTACATTTCTGAAATAAACTACGATATTAGATGAATGAGCCAGTACGGCTAAAAATTAACGCCTTTTATTAACTTGAATTAAGAAAACTGGGACAGTTGGAAGAAGTTTCGATGATAGGAAATGGAATAAGTAAATTACTTTTTAAAAAATCCATCGGCAAATTGAATCTGTGCAAAAGGAAAAAACGATTTCATTGCTATATTGAATAACCGTCTTAAAACAAAAAAATGAGAAGAAAAATAAAAGCTCGATATCACTTTTAGAGCCGTCAAGCATTAAAGGAGAGGAGGAAGGAGACACAATTAAGGTTAAGTTTTGAAAGATAATAACGATGAAATTCTGGTGTGTGGTGAAGAATAAGATCTCGGTAAATATTAACCATATAACCTTTTAAAAAAAATAAATCAAAGAAACCATGAGAAGTAGGCGCAATATTAATGGTGAATTATATAATGAGATTTTACAAATTTTTTAATGGACAAAAAGTATTTGAAATGATGGCATCATAATTTCCAGAAAATTTTGATTTTTTTTGTTCAAACTAATTTACTCTATCTGCTAAAATAAAGTAATAGCGGAAGTTAAATCTGTTTTTATTTGAATATTAATCGCTCTCGTTTAAAAGAGAGTTCTTTACTCTGTATTCAACAAAATTAAATACAACATGCTTTTGCAACTAGACACTAAGAGGCGTTGTCTACTTTTAAACCAGACTTACCTCGCTTGATGCCGATAACTATATGTGGAATTAATAACATTTAAATCAAAATGATGCTATTGTTTCTAATACCTCTCTCCTAGGCAACATTTTATAAAAAATATTTTTTTTTATTTTCCACAGCAGTTGCATCGTCTATAACATAGACTCTATTTCTGTCAGGGACCAGTAGATTTTGCTAAAATAAATGACTTCTCAGAATGGGTGTACCGGGTGTCCCAAATAAGTCATGGGAAATTACTATAACTTATTTTCAAGTTGCTATGACGGCCAGAGGACTTGAATAGTCGATTTCAAAAAAATCTTCAAATCCGCCTATAGAAATCTTCAAATAATTTAACAACAAAAATATTTAAGGATTTTTTTCACGTTTTTCTAACTTAAATTGTTTTTGTATACCCTAATTTAAATAAATCATACTTTAATAAAGTGTTTTTCATTAAATTTATCTTAAACAGTCGATTTAAAAGAAAATCTACAATTAGAAATCGTCAAAGTTGATGCAAATAATTTAAACACCAAATTTTTTTTTCACAGTTACAAAAGATTTTAGTACAATTATGATATAAAAAATACAATGAAAAATAATTAATAAAAAACGTTCTCCTATGATGCGGACTTTTGTAGTGATACTTTATTATTCCATTATTGGCAGTAGGTATGCCGCAAAGTGACTTATCTATCTGTCAATTCAACTGAATTCAATGTTATCAAGGAAGTTTCGTACTAAACTGAAAATATAGTGTATTTTAGCAAAATCTGATACATTCATTTTTCTTATCAATAATTTTTTAAGGTAAATTTACCTTTTGGATGCTGACTTAAAAAAAGTGGTCTATGCATTACTAGACAGGAAGCATCTTCAACGAGAGTGAACAAGAGACACGATTATAAGAGGGAATTCCAAAAATATATTTGACAATGGTTACATTTTATACCAAAAGGTTTAACGATTTATTTGTCGTACTTGCATGCAGACATATATGCTCCTCTACAATATTTCTACAGAGTGTCTTCTTTTATCTATGCATAAATAACCGAAATTGCTTGTTGAGACGTCAAAATATATTTGACAATGGTTACATTTTATACCAAAAGGTTTAACGATTTATTTGTCGTACTTGCATGCAGACATATATGCTCCTCTACAATATTTCTACAGAGTGTCTTCTTTTATCTATGCATAAATAACCGAAATTGCTTGTTGAGACGTCTAAAGCGATTCCACGTGTGTGTGATTTTGTTTTGACTTAAAATAGTGTATTTTTCAAAAATTTTAGTATTTCTGAGACTACACCCGTTTACAAGCTCTGTTAATTATTCCTACTGGTTGGCGTTCGTAAAAATTTTGACACCACGCCAAAAAGCCAAATTTTAACTAGCGTAAAAAGAAACTTTGTATGCTCCTGATAAGTTATTTCAAAATCGTGGTCAGAAGAACAAATTTTGGATAAATTTTAAAAACTCGGTGTTAAAGTTCTAAAATTGGTTTCATCGTATATTTTCCATCACTTGAAATATATTGAGATTGAATATTTTCGAAAGAAAATATGTTCTGCAACTGCTACGCATCAAGAAATGATTGTATTAGTTAAATGTTTTCGGTCGATTTTAAACACTTATGATATTTTGTCAGTCCTAATGTGTTTATTAGTTCATACTGTATGTGAAAAACTAAGACGTTTTTGACCCTAGTTGTTCCGCCCAAAATTCAAATTTGTAAGAGTTTGGAATTTGTTCTTTCGTCATTGTGAATCAAAAAATCTATTGTTTCTCTCTATAATTATAGAGCTTAAAGTTAAAATTTCGTTTCCCTGATTGGATTCCACAGTTTCGACAATTATTCCTTGGTTTGGTTTGGTTGGTTTGCGCTATCAATTTCCAAAAACCTTTTATAAGATAAGAGAAGAACTTTGCAGTTTTGGAAACGAATATCAAATATTTTTACTTTTAAGCAAAACATGTTTCAACTATGAAAAACATATTATAAATATAACAGTAAATTTGGAAGAATGTAGTGGGGAGAAAATTCATTAATTCCACGTAAACAACTGATCGGTTTTCCAAGTTCGTCGCGCTTAAAAGCGGTGTAGCAAGGAAAATATGCCGTCGTCAGTTTCGTCGTTCGAAATAAAACTAATCGATATCTGGAACAAACACACACACATCCATAATACAACATTGACCTTGGCGATAATGTAAACCCACGGAAAAACTTTTACTCTTCGTTTTTACACGACGTACGCACGCGAACCATATAATATAAAAGCTTAATAACTTTACAAGGATGTTTCGTTTCTCGCCACTGATCTGGATCGCGAGCAAAATGATTGTTCTGTAACGAACGCAGGCAAAACGTTCACTATAACTATTCTTTTCTTCTTCAGTAATCTTGGACAGATGGAGATAAAAGAAACCAAAATCGAGCACCAGTCTTCCAGCTACTACGAGGCATCCGGGTTTAGTCACGGCGATAAGAACGACTTCAGTAGCAACAAAGACGTAACTATGGATAACTTTACGTTTCGGCTATTGCGTAAAATTTAGCGTTTTAGTGCATTGTAGTGATGAACCCGGAAAATGAAGACGACGCGGCAGGATCCAACAACAGCACCATCTCGTGCTTGGTGAGGGACGAAATCGGGGCAGACGGACGTCCTCTCAGTCTCTGCGGTCACTTGGAAGTGTCGTTATGGTACGACGCCCCTATGAGGAAGATGACAGTCCATGTTTTACAGGCTTGCAATATCCCGAGCAGAGACCGCGGTCAACCCACACAAACCCAGGTGAATAAAAAACCTTTCTACGGTGTTGGAGCCTACACGACCATCTTTTACTAAAACAGAATAAATAACAGTAACTTTGGCTTAGGAAAATGCACGATGCTCTTAGAAATTACTCTCATAGGATGTATGAAAATAGCAGTTTACCACTCTAGTTTTGAGTGTCAGAGAGGAGGAAGCATCTGTTAGAAGAGAATATGAAGAACCATTCTTAGAATGAATCAAAAAATATCAAACTTTTAACTGCCACTGATATCTACATATAGGAAAAGTTTAAAAATAGACCTCACTCTTACCGATTTGGTAAGAGTGAAGATCAGTTGATCTATTCTACCAGAACACAAAATTACCCTAAACATAAATTGTCACTTACAGACAGTGGAATATATTATAGATGCATCAAATTTTATCTTTACCAAATGATATACAGAGGATCCAACACATTAAAAACTAAAAAAAAGACGTATATCTTAGTTCCATATCCTTTAAAAATGCGGAAATTCGTTACTTAAAAAAGTGTTTGGATATTACTTTGCATTTGTTTTTTTTTTTAATCTTTTTGTTGTTATTACACTACTTTAAAATAAAGACCTCTAATTATGTTAGAGGCGAAGACCAAAGTACCAGGCATGAAGTGAACTGAATCCAAACTGGAATGGATCCAGTAATGCAGCGAAATTTTTGTAAGGCAAATTTTATTTAAATGGATACAAGTAGAGGTATTCTTTTCCTTATATACGGTAATAATGATAGCAGATATGTCTAATAATATTGTTTCTGGATTTTTCTCCTGTTTTGATTTTTTGGGTAAGTATATATGGTAAAATTCAAAAATTTGAACAAACAAAAAGTATTGGTTATTTGTGCATGTTTAGGTAAATAGGTATGTATTTTAAGTTTTATTTTTAAATAATAGTAAAATAAATATTAAATAACTAAGATTTCTTGAGAACTTTTTTAAGAACCCATAATACTGTACATTTTATTTTTAACAAATATTTATAGAAAATAGTATATATTCAGCAAATAATAATATGTGTATGATTTTAGTAAGATCTATATTGGTAAATAAAGTCACTAAGCCCGAAGAACACCTCATTTTCCTATTTTTATAAATGAGCAAGACGACGTCAAGAATCGCCATTACTAGGGTTTTTCTATTGCATCTCACATATCCCCTTTGTTGTCTATAAATAACAATAGGCAAGCTGCATAGACTCAGCATAGATTTAGATACAAATAAAACACGAAGTTGTAAACTGTAGAATAATAGGTAAAATTATTGCTTATATACTGCTTATATAGGGGGACAGACTATAAACTAATAAAGTTTCTCTAAATTTTTCTGCATATCTTAATTCGGAGTTCTAGCTTCATCCACGACTTGATCATCGGTATGGTAGGTAGTAATAAAACGAAAAATGCTATAGAGAATTACGTTGATGGTGACCAAAAAAGTTATATTTACTTGCATAAAGGATATACATATATATTACTATATTGCCCCCGGATTTTATTCGAATTACGCGTATGGTCTCAACATTTATTTCGTTTAATAAACCCTTAACTTTGGTTAATTTTTTATATCTTGCTTATTTTTCACAAAAGTTGTAGTTTTTGAGATATATTAAAGAAAAAATTAACAATTCTCATTTCAGAACACACAAATTAATTTATTAGCATAATACGAACACTATTAAATGTTGCATTTTTATGAGTTGGTTTTTACGAGTTTTTTTTAATATTGACCTAGGGTACCAAGTTTGAAACACCCAGTACAATACTGAACGGTCACTGTAACTTCCTTCAGTAAGAGTGGACCATATTATTCTAAAATCAATGGCACCATTCAATTCCAAGGCTAGGCACGTACACCATGTGGACAATTACAGAAGAACAAAACATGCTATTTATTAATGTCAGGAACCTTTCTATTTACTGATATTTTCTTATATACATCATGTCTATATAATTAGTTAATGACCTCGTAGGTAGTTATCGCTTTGCGGCTGTCAGTTTTCCAGGTTATAAATCTCCAAAAAAGAAGGTTCAATTTAAAAACGCGTGGAAATAAAATTTCATTTTCTAGATCTGTAAGAGAAAGTTCGCCTCAGTTGTTTATATTGAACTTTATTTAAGTACTTACTCAGTTTCAAGTTGGTGTCGTATGCAGGTGAGGTTGATACTACTGCCGAGCAAAAAGCAGAAACACAAAACCAAGATTCGATCCGGTGAAAATCCTCAGTACCGCGAAAAGTTCATCTTACACAGAGTTAACCCAGGTAACATTATATCAATCGCAAATAAAAAAAATCGATTTAAAATTCGACGTAACCGAGCGGCTTATCCTTTTCAGAGGACGTCAACTCGATGGGTATTAGACTGCGACTTTACGGCTGTGAAAAAATGCGACGAGAGAGACTCATCGGCGAGGCCCTCATAAGATTTGCCACCATCAATCTAGAGGTCGAAAACAATTTTTGGTTGTCGCTTCAACCTAGAGTCAACACCGAGGTGAGCAAAAACCGAGAGGTTCACTCAAAAAATGTATAGTGTATCTTTTGACATTTACAATTACTAATTTTCAAACGATTTTAAAATTCGTCGTTAATAATCCGCAAATAAATAGGTATCTCGTGTTTTAAAACTTTACATTTAAACCTATTATTGTCAATCTGTAAGGTACAACTTTACGTATCAACAACTGGGAATTATTATCATTATAGCATTTTTTCTTTATTTATTCCTAATACATCGAAATCTTTTGCGAAACGTTTTTCTTCAAATTGTCAATTGTTCTTGATCCCTGTAATTATTTATTTTTAAAATATCAATATCGACTACTTAAAGTGTTATTAAACGTTTTATTTAAAAATATACATATAATAAAGACATTTAGTCGAAGAAACCGATAAATAAACCTGCAAACGTCACACTAGACATACAATTAAAAATATCTCAGAAACGGTAGGATATTTCAAACTAACTCAATATATGGGGTGTGTTATTTAAAATAACAAAGTAATTACTTGTCATTTAAAATTCAAAAATATGCCTGATACACAAAAAATAAATGTTTGGGCAGAGATTATGAATAAAAAAAAAATTGAACCTTATTTCTTCGATCAAAATCTTACCGGAGATCGATATTAACAATTTCTTCAAAATTCCTATTTTCGCAATTTTTTTCCCAAATCCAAATCAGCTTGATATGCCAAATAGACAGATTTGGTTTCAACAGGATGGTGCTAAGACAAGTGTGTAAATATTTAAATATGGTATTTCCCGGATTGGTAAAAATGGACCAATAGAATGCCTACAAGATCTCCAAATATTGCTCCGCTGTATTTTTTCCTCTCGGGATATTTAAAATCCGAAGTGAATAAGGAAAAATCACAAACTTTAGATGATTTAGAATTAGATATGCCATAAGGCAAATTAATGAAAATGTCCTCAGAAATTTTTTGGGAGGATTTTTAAACCGATTAGTAAAGTAAAAGTAAATGATTGGCATATTGAACACCTCATAAAATAATTTCTTTGACATGCCCAAGCAATTTTCTCTCAATTTTACTTACTATGTAAACAATTTACAAACTGCTTCTTGAGTTCTCATTTTGTCTCCATATTCAATAAAAATTAAAATTTCGATTCCCTGGTTTCAATTTAGATGCGCCATATTCACTTTCTTTAGTGACAGAAATGTAATTGAGAACATTTAAGAACTTTCTGGTCATAGCTATTTACTTATTAATTTCAAAAGTTAATATCTGTTCTATGGGGTATGCTACATGAATTATGCATGAAATTATGCAGAATTCGAAGTTGGCTTTAAAAATGGGGTTCTATTTTTAAAAAAGGAACTTTGTTGCGGTCTTCACATACTATTCTGCGGTTACGTGAAAACACATAATAAAATCTCGTGGAATTCTGGAGTAAAATAAACAACGTATATTTGCGAAAACAAAGGATACACTTGAGAGGAGCAGTATTGGGAACCCAATACTGTCCCACGACAAACAATCAAAACAAAATAACACTATTTGAGGCGGCGTGCCGGGTTCGGATTCCAAAAACGATGAACCAGCCTCCTCACCTCGTAACTCCATACTACCCGTCCGTTTCCAGCGCTACCGTTTTAACCCCCCCACTCGCACAGTTCCAGGAACCTCCATCGACTATCGCGGGCGCACTACAACTTGATATGTATTTTTTGGAGCCATCATCATATTTTCTGTTTACTGCAAAAAATGTATGTGGGTATCTGATTTTAAAATGAATTTGTTCCATAATTTAAATCCAAACAACTTTTGTGCTTTAGTTTTTCTGATGTTCGATTGACTACGCTCCTAAGTGGATCTGCTGACTATTCTAACCCTCGATAGTAAATGTTATCCTAACCCACTATCGATATATAAAAGTGTACTTGCCATCAAAACTGATTCCTTGTCATATCCAATATCGTTTAATAAATTATAATAAATACATCCCAGTAAATCCCAGATTAATATAGCTGAAATTATTTTTTAATTGCGTTACAAGCTATCCTTAATGAAACTATAGAACAGGCACATATCTTCATTGCGTTTCCGTTATTTTTAAAGTCGGACTGGATCCTTCTTATATCCATGTGCACCGTTATTCACGACAATTGTCGTTTAGCTTAGTGCCTACAACAAAGAACTGTCGAGCATGGTGAGATCGGACAGCATTGGATCATCTCAATCTATAATTCAACATGGTGGAATACCGGAGCTATTGCTTGGGTTGAGCTACAATGCAATCACTGGTCGATTGAGCGTAGAAGTAATCAAGGGATCACACTTTAGGTAAATTTCGACTAGAAACGTTTAGGGAAATGAGGTTGAATCTGTGATTTTCAGAAATCTCTCCTTAAACCGAGCCCCAGATAGCTATATCAAACTAAGTTTGGTGAGCAGCACTGGTCAGGAATTAGCGCACAGCAAGACGTCTGTTAGACGGAGTCAGCCCAATCCACTCTTTAAAGAGACGTTCGTATTCCAGGTAGGGCAACATTGATTTTAAAGTGCAGTCATAATTTTAGATGACCAGTGGGCCGGGCTAGAATTATTACTTGAACAAATAATAAGTTGGTGAAAATGGTTTATTGTGGGTTTTTCTATTTCGTATTATGTTTTTTATTTAGTCTTAGTTTCTCACAGAACGTGGATGTATTAGTGCGTTGTTATTTTGTCAACTGTAAATTTTAGAAAAGTTGTTATCTATCGTCATTGTAAAGATATTCAGTGTGATACACCATGTAAGATCTCAGGGTGCCAAGCAAATTGTAAAAACTGTTTATAATTTCTCTGTTAACTCAAAGCTTGACTTCTGTACAAAAACTAATGTCAAATCCTATTAACACAGTAAAGGTAAGCATTTGGTTTTGAGAAAAAGTTTTGTCGAAAAGGGCAAGGACTTAGGCCAAATATTTTTATTTGTCATAGCAGTTAGTTACAAAAAAAACAATCAAATCAAAACTAGGAAAACCTTTTGCACAATTTTGAGATGATCACTAGTTATTACAACAAGCAGCTATAAGCTACTGTTTTTTTGTATGTCAAATGCTGCTTGCCATGATTGGCAAACAACCCAACGCAAAGGATTTTTGGAAAGTAGCCGTTGTATGCGGCGGAACCCTGTAGTTATTAATATACTTGCCGCTGTGGCGATGCAGAAAAACTAAAATGTTGTTGCCGCAGATATTATACAAGCTCCATTTCCTGCAATAAGTTTATCAATACTATTCAAATACACAGTAATGGGATTGCGAAATAGTATTTTATAAGATAAACGCTACAACTGTTTTGAACTTTCTGGATGGCATGGCAAACTGCATGGTTTTTTAAGCGCAGATCAGCAATTGTCAGTCTATTGTTGATGTGCGATAGGCATAAATTCATTATTTAGGGGAGGCTTAAAGTTCTCATAGATTTCGCTTCCTATATTTTTATTATTATTATTATTTTATTATTATCAAATATAAAAAGACTTAAGTTAAGCTTAAGGTTAAGATGATCTTTAGAAAAGACAGATAAACTATGCAAGTCCAATTTAAAATGCATACATATTTAAATATCGTCAGATTTCATATCTGCAACACATAAAATGGCTCCAAATTTTCCATATTGGATTGCTTTATGATTTCAACACAATGGCGCTCGATAAGATTAACTGAAAAACAGAAACAATAAAGTTTTGCTAAAAGCATGTTATTACCAATCACCTTTCCAAAGTCAAATAGAGTTAATTAAGTAACCTCCTTCCTATCTTCATTTTAGCGAACATAATAATTTAACTAGACTAGCTGTTATAGTAAAGTGTGGTGTAAACCCTGACTGACAATTTGAACAATCTAATTTACAAAAGCAGACATTTGATAAAACGTGTGCGTGTCTATAATTTTTGAAACTAATTGGAAGTGTGCTAATTGATCTCAGATTCCTCAATTCAGGTATTTTAGGAACTGGTTAAATAATAACGTTTTTCAAAATTCTTGGGAAATCGTGATTCAAGATGCAGCTGTTAATAATTTTTAGTAAAGGATTGAGACAATATGGAAGACACACACAATTGCGTTAATAGAAATTTTAACTGAGTAACTTAAACTTTAATTTATATTTAATTTTAGAACGAAGATTAGAGTTGTAATAATTCATTTTTTCTCTAGAACCACTATCAACAATTTAGGTGCACGATGAAAAATAATTATTAAGTAGCTCAGAATTACACATTTCCTCTGAGAGATTCCAGGGTTCATGGCGAGTACGATTTAGTTGTTTAACGCTTAATCTAGTGATTTACCTACTCTACAAAATCTGACGCAACCACACATAAGCTTTGGAATGACTAGCCTATGGAAAGTTTGGTTTGAGAAAAGTAACAATTTTACAAGCCTGGTCAGAAAACGGTTGGGTTCAAAATGTTTTATGGTACCATGCATACCATGATGATACAACGCTCGAATTTTTTGAACAATAGTTGAAAGATTATTTTATAGTTAACATTTTTCAGAATAGCGTTATAGCAATGGACAATGCGTGCTATCCCAGTCGCCAACTACATAAAGTTCCAGGGTCAAATAATACAAAGTTGAAAAATTGAAAACTACTAGATTGTAAATAATTTTATTATAACAACAAACAATAAAGAAAGTGAGCATAAAAATATGTTCGATAACAGAAAAAACAGGAGATACAGTGTTCTGACTGCCACCAGTCTCCAATCTTATACATAAATGTGGCGCCAACTGAAATTAAGCATGAGGGCACAAAATGTTAAGTTGTAAATTGAATTGAATATGGATATATGGAAAAATTAAAAAAGCCAAAACTCATTACCAAGTGGTGAATCTCCAACATTTAGAACGCTGCTAAATTGTTTATTGATCAAGTTGAGAAAATTAATATAGGCTAGTCAATCATATACTTCGTTTGTTTTGAACCGCAAAAGTAACTTATAATACGTCAATAAGGAGGCAATAAAACAGGCTTTTCAAAACTCTAAAAATCCAACATGGTGCCCATAAGAAATATGAAAGTTAACGAGTGTTTAATCAAAATAGGAAAAGCAGTGCGGGATTGTCAAACTGGAAGTTTTAGTTTTTCAGACGTATCTCCGGAAGTGTCATACAAGATTACTTCTATGTTTTTAAGAAATATTATATCTTATATCAGAAAAATCTTCCAGAAAAGAAGCAGCGCATGTATGCAAAATATTTTCTTTCACAAAAAAATTAAAGTCCTACAAATCTACTTAGGACCAATACATTGAATCCAAAGCTACACCTTACTGATCTTCATACATTATAGTATGACGATATAAATGGCATATGTTCCAAAAATTCAAAAATATTTCGGAAAGGTCGATTCTCGTTTTACCAAACCCAACAATAGACAAATATTCTCATTGCATTTTCCAATAAACCGGAATTGTATCTTTCTTTCAGTATGCCCTTCATGTAAATATTGAACTTGAATTTACGTTTCTTTATAGCTATTAAATAGTGCTTTTTATATTCGATTCTGGGATTTTCTGTTCTTGATTTTATTTTTACTATGCATCCACTTCCATTATTGGTTAAATTATTCTTTAACGGCCGAAATATTTTCTTGTCTGCTACCCCTGAATTTTCGTTTGACAATATGTAACACTTGTCATATAATTCGTTTCATAATTTTGATATATTTAAAATTTTTAAATGAATTTTTCTAATTCCATCTTCAAACTACCCAATAACAAACAGATCAAGTGTACCGTAAGTGTCACTTTAACACTTCGCGTAGGATCGTTACGCAAATTCATATTTTGGACACAGGTTTAGAAGCGATAGGGTGTTTTCGGTAGATTTTAGCCACATAACACCCAGATGGTCGTAAAAAAGGATAGTATGCAACATATTGATAAATTTCTTTGGTCACTAGTCTATTAAACACTCGCTTAGCTCGTGCCAAAACAAACTCCTAACTAAAATGGTATTTACCAAAATTGTTGCATAATACACTACTAAAGTTTAAATTCGCCGACTAATATTATTTAACTACTTTCACTTGTATTATTCAACTAGTTTCATAGGAGATATTAATTGAAGCACCTTATAAGCGGGTTAACCTACAATACTAAACGAGGGAGTAAGAAAAACTATAAGGAATGAAAATGATGTATTTAATTGACATTAAGAGTTATATGCACTGCCTACTGATGCATAAATAAAAAATGACGTATATTTTCGTTATTATTCATGATAAATACCAATAACGGTAATTAATTGATAAATACTCAAAAGTGCCATTTTTTTAATGCCATAGTCAACTATGATGATCATATAAAAAAATAAAAAAAGATTTCATTTTGGAAAAACTGAAAATTATGTAAAAAATCGGAGTATGCCACTTGATTCAGTTATGATCGCTTTGTATAATTTCACTTTCTTACAAACAGCTACTGTTTTTTAAATTTTTACTATGCATTTATCTTGTTTGTTGAATTCGATTACCAGGTAGCATTGTTTCAACTCGCCGACGTGACGCTGATGGTGGCGGTCTACAATCGCAAGGGGGTGACCAAAAAGAAGGAAATGATCGGCTGGTTCAGTCTGGGATTGAATTCAAGCGGCGCTGAAGAGTTAGCCCACTGGATGGACATGAAAGAGTTCCAGCAGGAACAGATCTGTCGCTGGCACATCCTTGTCCAGTCATAGCGACATTGGCGCATCGCTGTATGAGATAGGTAGTATTATACGCAAAGAAAAAAGTACGAATAGCGTCAGATCATCAAAATAAGTTGGAAAGAGGTGTATGAGCTGATCGTAGGTTCCTAATTGCTACCACAAGAAATTTATCTGCGCATATTTTGCGTTGCCTCTTCTTCAACTGCTTGATAAGCTTTTCAGTAATTGAAACAACTCAGCAGGTCATGATGTTTATCGCCTCCGATGTATCAACACCTCTTTAGCGGTTGGAGTACCAAAGATTTGTTGGTGAGTTGGGTATGGTTTCTCTAGGTATGAATAGGATATATATGTTTAATCGACGTCATCTGGAGATATATCGTTTCAAGACCAGTACTCCAGGAAATTTTTAACCTTTATTATTTTTGTTTTGTATGTGCTAATAAAACATTTAATGTGAATTAATTTTTTGCTTAGACATAGTGCGAATAATACTTTTTTAACGACACTAAATGCAGGTTCGCAATACGCACAAGTTGTCAAGTTTTCGTTTATTTGAAGGTTATTTTGATACATATCTAATTACTTATGGCGTAAATTTATCCAACTTCCATTTTTTAAAATTTAACGACCCATATAATTTTTGGTAATTTTATTGGTTTTATTTGAGGCATATTCTTAGACTAATTACTAATTTGAATTTGTTTCGTGTATGCATATGGAATAAAAAGGACGAACGAAATTAGAGTGGATCTCGTTTTCCAAAACTAGCCGAAACCCCCAGTCTCGTAAAATTATTAAAAAAAGGCAAAAATAAAACGAAAACTGGACATCCTGTTCACACAATAATAACTCGAAAAGTCAAAATAAAGTGATTCGTATATACACTACAATGCAGAAAAACATTATTTTGCGGGAGTAATAAATTTCGTACATATTCAATAAATAAATGAACGATCTTGTTCATGTATGTGTTTAACGCACAGTAACTTTATTTCATACCTTAAATTTCAAAACATATAGAACTTGAATGCTTTTTTTATTTTATCTACACTAATATAAATATAAATTTACTGTCGACTTAAGGTCTTCGCACAATTTAAACATTATAACTTGTACCATGATTGCAATGTGTAGACAACATTAATCTTGATCTAAACTGGAATAGACCTAGCGTGATAGAAAATTGAGGCAAATTTTAGAAAAGAAAAAGGCGGTTAGTAATGAGCATTGATGTCTTTATCTTGCTCGTTTATATAAATGGGAGAATTACCATATTTGCCGATATAATTTTTACTGAAATCCTCATTTATATATTATAGTTATCAGTCAGAAAATAGCAAAAAGATGTGCAAGTATGCAATTTCTCTTGAAGAAGGAAAAATACTGATTTATTTTGAATTACAATTAATTTCAAATCATATTTATATATTTTACTTATAAAATAACTAACTGAGTTATAATTCATTTATAAAACAAAATCGGACAGCTTAATATGCAATTGTTGCAATATGCAAACTTACACAAAAAAAAACCTTCTTTGGCATGTAGGTGTGCAACATCAGAATTTACTATTTTAAAAAATGTTGATTAATTAAGACCACCGATGAACTAAAACTAACCAATGATCATTAGTATTACATTGTATGACACAGCAAGAATACCGCTTGTTAGCCGTCTCAACATTAATAAAATTTGCTTCAAAAAATTGATATTAGTTGTTGTTTCGGCCCGATTCCATTTAACTTTTATCCATAATTACTTATTTTTTTGGAGAAATGAAAAGCAACTTTTAAGGGAGTTCAATCATAATTAGGTTATTGTGCATTGTACACATTTTTGCCAAAATTTAGAAAATGTCTTAGTGAAATCAAGAAATAGTGAGATATTTAGGGTATTTGAAAAAATTGGTTGGTCGTTTAGTCTGCAAGGCAGAAAGCTGCTGACCTATATGATATAATTTATACGATTTTTTTATATCTTCGCCTATATGACTGGATAGTAATGGGATAATGAAAACGCACAAAAATGTCTCTTATTTCCCTTCGAAATAAGTACATTCAGTAATGAGTAAGGTAGTAAAACGAAAACTGTAAACTCGATGTAAACTCTACAATTATACATGTATTACTATGTAGGGAAGTTAATCCCGAAACTAAGTGAGTTTCTTACTTCACCATTTGTTTTGAGATAATGACACATTATAAAAATATGGTCAAAGTTTAGATTCTTATAAATCTGATTAAGAGCCTAAATGTTTAATGCTTGTGTAATATTTTATGAAGCCCCTAACGATTATTGGCAAGATTTTGAAGTTGTTGATGTATTAAGACTATTCCATTATAGGCTTTCGATTTTTTATATTTGCACGGTGCTGTTCAAATAATATGCACAACACGTTAACAATTTTAAACATTTTTAAATGTAGGTTTCGCGCTTTTGCCGGACTATTCTCATCGAATGTTAACGCAAATAAAGTATACAGAATTTTGATATTTCACGCATTCCCAATAAATATGTGCAGACTGTACAGAAATTAAATTTATTTTCCACTTTAAACTGAAAACCCAAATTCTTATAAACTAGGGTCCACAACCTCTTCATTTTTAATTTAACATATTAAAAATGAAATCCTGATATCAGTTTTCTATAAAAATTTTGCGAAATCTGTAACGGTTTTGTTAATATTTTTAGACTCGGTTGAATGAATGAAAGTACTGGTTTATCTTCATGGGTGCGTAAAATTTTCCCTAATTTTGTGGTTGTTGATTTTCGACTATAAAACTACACTAATAAGGTACCTCGTTTTCGAGAAAACACCTCTTTATTTCAAATTTTTTATTTTGGATAATTAAAAAAACAAAAAATAATGCTGTAATGGATCTAACGTCCACATAAAAAAAGGTTTTCATGTTCGTCCTTGAAATCACAGACGTTGTCAGGAGAATAACAACAATGTTATTTTTGCAGTTTGAGTGAAGCATTTATTGTACACGTAAAAATATGATTTGTTACCGTGTGCTGCATGCTTTCTGAACAATACCGTATTGGAAAAAATATTTCGATGTTTTACCCGGTGATTGTACTGGGTCAAAAATGTGAAAATTGAAATTGTTTTTCAGTTTTCAAATTTCGATATATTTAAGTCGCGATGCGGTCACTGAAAAGAGATCTGTGATAAACTAACAAGCGTACCGCAATGAAAATGCAAAAAGGGCGGGTTTATTTTTTCGTTGATTTAAATCAGTGGTAGTAAATACATGCTGGGTACAAAACGTATAGTATTCCTCCTTTCTCTAGAATTTCGAAATCACCGACCACTGATTTAATAGAGGGCAAGCGATTTATCATCAAAATGACCTTCTACGTATAACTAGTTATCAAAATTTCTGTGATAAAACATGACGCTCTTTTTAATGGTTTCCACTAGGCGCACCTATATACTTTAATGTAGATTTTTTAACAAATCTCGAGTATATTAATACAATTAATTTATCAACAGATTTACAGATATTTATAATAATGGTTAGCTAGAAGAATTAATTACAGGCCATTTATCACCTATATGTGAATTACAGGCAGTTGATACATCCAAGTGGGCGTTCCTCACAGTGAGATTTTCTGTCGATATTTTTTGGGTTGAAACTAAAACGTTTAAACTTTACATGTAGGTATTTTATCACTAATATTTTAAAACGAAAATTTGTGAACATTTTGTCTTAATTTCAAATCAATGATGGAAATTCTACAATACCGGGTGATTGATAGTGGTTTATAAGTTAACGGAAAAACAAAATACATTTTTTCAAACTTTAGTACTTAGATTTTCTAGTCTGCTCTATCGAACTTAAATATTTTCTACGGCCAAATTAAAATATATAGGAATAGTGTCAACACTTGACTCCATTTTAAATAGTTTTTACTTGGCTAATTTGCAAACCACTTTTTAAGCCAAAACTAGCCAGTATTGGAAGCTATTTTAAAAAACTATGGAAATGAAATAGTTTTGATTAGTCGTTATCAAATAATTCAGCTAATAAAGGAACTATCCAGCCAGTTCAAATTAACTAAGTAAACTTTAACTACGGAAAAAATAAGATCCACCAGAATAACAAACTTTTCATGTTATCGGGCTTTTCATCATTGAATAGAATCCTGGGAAAAACACATCTCGTCAAAGCTTTTTGATATATTATATGTTGATACATAATTTCAATAAATTGACAGCACCTCTGAGGAATGCCGGAATAACTGTATTACTGCGTTCGCCTTCTATCTAGAGAATTTTTGAATCGAATACCATTGTATAAAAGCTATTGACAAAACAGGACCTAGTTAGTGTAAGGCAAATTCGTAACCCCAAAAAATAACGGATTTCGAAAGTCGGCCGAAACAAGACAATTTTGAAATTTGTATTTGAATTTGTAAGGTCTTGTTGCTTTGTGGGTCGATTTTTGAAGTTCGAGCTCCGCTTCGCTGTATAATGAAATTCGATGTTTCGTGTCATTGGATCCTCACGTTCCCCATTAAGCTGTAGTGCGCACTTTGGATACGCCGCAAAATCCAAACAAAAACCACTTTCTATAAGAAATATCGTAGTCAGTACAAGGTGATGCCCAAGTTCTATTAAGGCTGAATCAACAACAAAAAGAGCACATCATATTTGTCAATAAATTCTTTCAAAGTGACCTTGTCAGCACAAAGCACGCCAATTTTAGATTGGAGACTAAGACAAGGTGATTCAAAACGAAGGGGATATGCAGAAACTGTACATACAAGCAATTACATAAACGATTAAGCCAAACTAGCTTTAAGGCCTCTACACTCTAACGGACATTGATGTTCGCGTTGATTTATATTCATTCAAAAACGTGCATGCAAAAACGTTACTGTGAATGCATAACAACGTCACATATTTGAATGCACCCTCAAAAATACCGGCGCACAAAATTTCTATCGCCTACAGGAATGTTGTACGTGAACGCGGAACCTTTACAGTTTGCAGTTGCAGAAGCCAAATTTTACAGCACACGCGGCGCGCTTTTTTTTTGTGATTTTACAATTTAATGAGAAAACTGGCAGAAAAATGATCGATTTAGTGCCTTTATGGATTCATACAAAAGTTAAACATTAAAGGACAAGCTTACCGGTTTCAAATCCAAATACAAAACAAATTGTTGTGTTGATGGATGACATAAATATTGAATAACAATTGTCCTAATAATGGCTTCTGTGTCCTTGAAGTTCCTGCAGTAGACCCACTTAAAATATCTTAGCGCCGCTTATGCAGGTAGAATAGAACTTTTATTTACGATTAGCAGCGCTACCGAATAAATTCGCGGAGAAGCAAAAGCAAAACTGCAGATTTTGCAAGTGCGTCTCTATGTAGACCTACTCTACGTTTTTGCATGTACTTTTTTAACGCGCATACATGAACGTCCGATCGTTGAGTCCTTTATGCAAATGTTGATAGTTAACAAGATACAGAGTTTGATATATTTTTTTCAAAAATCTGTAAGAACAATAATTTCATAATTTTTAACAGTTTAAAGAGATGTTTGCGACTAACATCTAAAAGTTACTCGAGATGACTCTTTTTATTTTGTGCAAAAGTCTTTATTTTCAACAATCCAAAAATTTTCATTATCGTTAGGTTGCAAAGAATTAAAAGGATTAAGTCTGATGAAGTTAAAAATAATCCACGACTGTCGCGAAATCTTTCAACGGCTTATAACAAAGTGTAGGTGGGGCCATTTATTGCAAGAAAAATTTATCATTTAATTAATTGGTGGTTTCGTGCATTTAGTTTAATATTTTGTATTGATAAGGTGTAATGTACTGATATTAAAAACAGGAGGATCTCTGCTATTATCTTTCAGCAGATTTCTTGTTTGTGTAACTTGTAAATTACCGACATTTGTATGAGGCAAGTTTTCCCTTTCGCTTTGAATCGCCTTGTACATTTTGCCTTATTCTGACTTCAACCATCAATCAAATCAATCAATTGATTTTTTTTTCTATTTACAGAGTGTTTACTTGAAGTTGTATACAAACACCTGACCTGACGCTAAAAGGTTTGTATAAAGAGAGTATTTCAGTTTTTTATACCCTCGATTTATAAAAAACCATTTTAGCGATTTTATCTTATTTAAAACCGGAAAGCTACCGGCAAAATGCTTTCAAAAACTTTACGAGTATTTTTACTAATTTTTACAAAACCTTGAGATGTCTAAAATCGGAACTTCAGTCACTACATAAATCAAGTGCGCCTTTCCCGGAAAAGTATATATTTTTAAAATAATTATATCAGTCCAGCGGTGGTCAGTGTAACTTCTGTCAGGTTATAAATAAGACAAAATCGCTAGCATATTATGAATTGTGGATATAAAGTACAGCTAGGCGTACTTAAATCAGTAACGTATAAATATAGCGGCCATTCTGCTAGAAATTTTCTCACAAGCAAAAATAGCTGAAATTTAATCTTTCGAAAAAAATTATTTGCACTGTAGCGAAAAACCGAAAACGCCTTAACGATCGATATTGTCTAAAGTCTTTGTTTTGTCAATAAACAACAGGATTTTCCTGCGATTGTCTTTGAACTGAAAAATATTCAGTTTGCAGGTTAACCCGGCCGTAGCATTTTTATACTATCTACTTGAATATTAGTCGTGTGGACCATTTACATATTTTATAATGTTAGCGCGTAAGATTTGTATGGAAATATGATGTTGAAAAATCTACTTACCTTGGTGTTCTTTTCTAAAAACTGTAGTTACACCTATAAAAATGCGTATTATTGCGACAAGCTTTTAAATAAGCAAACAAACCTAATAAATTTGACAACATAAAAGGAACTACTTGTAGTTACTATTTCGTGAGTGATTACTATGATATGGGTGATAGCTCTCGCAGCTAAAAATGTCATGTCCCTTACACAAGATCCAGTGATTTTCGCAAAAATACGCTTTTTGCATATTGTACTATATACATAAATATATGACTAAAGCATGCCTTCGATTTTATAATTATTAAAATTATACCTATACTTATACATATAGTATAAGTGAAGTTTTTGTAACTTGCCGTTTTTTATTATAAAATCAATTTGAAGAGATATAAATAATTGCACAGCCTCAATCAAATCTTACTGCACAATTAATGTGGGCATTTTTAAAGAAATTGTTACTTATTAAAAGAACTTTTGTACAAAATAAATGAACATCAACTTTACACGAACGTATTTACTTTGTAAATAGAGGTAAATTCCTAGTCATACAGTTAATTCTATGAGCAACGAGTCCATCCCTATCTTCTCTCCGCCACCCGCTGCGTTCCATAGGCAATGAATAATAGTGAGTTTTACTTTACCTTCGTGTGAACCCCCCAAATGATTTAAAATTTATAGTCTCAATTTTTTTTGGTTGCTGTTGGTTAGTTTTGAGGTTACTTTTGACTGTGACGTGCCTGTTAGAGACAGTCGTCAGTCATTACTGATAAATGATTTCATTTCGGGAATCAAGTTCAATCAATATATTAGGCAAGATTGCTGAGGAACTTGGTCTTTGGTGGGTACTAACCCATACCACTCTGCTATAAAAAAATTAACTTTGGATCAATGACCATGGGTTCACCCGGCCTCCACCCGATATGACATGCAAAAACAGCAGTGCAGTGAAATACGTAATATACTAAAACACTAACCAATACTAAAAAAAATTCATCACAGAATATTAGTCCTCAAATAGTACATCACTGTACTTTACCACATTCTATTCTATGAACATTACATAACCGTGAAATATACAATGACATATATTTAAATAGTGTTTTTATTTAATTATACCGGAATTTTCAATTTTCATAAACAATCCAAATAATTTTTTTGCAGTACTTCGTTGAGAGGTATGCAAATTACTTCAAGATTTTATAATATAACCTCTATCTGTTTAATCTTAGGAAAATGGAGTCTTCGCCATTCCTGAAATCACCGTTCACCGATTTGACTGGAGCTGTTGGTATAAGTCACCAATTTTTTGGGGAATGTGCAGATATAGAAATGAAAACATTAGATTGCCTCGAAGCCTACGGATTGGATCGAGGTTTGAAGAAATGTGATGCCCTTATCGCAGATTACACGGAATGTGCCCGCAAAGTAAAACAATATAATAGAATGTTTACAATGCGCAAAGAACGGAATCGTCAATATGCCGCAGGTGAAAGAACAAAGGAGAACCATTATGCTCCATCACCACCAAATGACAGTTATTAATCCAATGACTTAAGATTCAATAAAAAAGTTGGTAGTTCCTTTTGATGCTGTAAATAAAAAGCAAAATTGCCAGTCAATTTTTTTTCTAGAAATGATTTAAGTTTGTAACATATTTACTACAAATTATGGTTTGAAATGTAAATATTTCTACACTTCAGACCAAAATATTAACTTATTGTTTAGAATGGAGTTTGCACCTTAGGACATTGATTCTAGAAGAGGTTTTTTATCTATTCAAATAATACAAATTTTGATACTCCATATCACATATACCTAGACAATTATCTGGAAAATGCAGATTTATTTGATTGTAATATCAAGGTGGAAAATATAAAACTCATTGTTTTTGATTAGTATGAATATAATTGCTAATCAGTTGCAATTAACTACACCTAACAACATCCAACACCAAAATTCTAAAATACATTTTGCACACTAAAATTGTCACAAACAGTGTTCTACATCTCCTTGGATATAATACCGCATACTTTTCCATAATGTTCTGGCTTTGACAATGAGTCAATCAAGAATTTTCCCAGATCATGTTTAGATACAACTCTACCCAAATATTTATCATGGGCAACATCATAATCTGACCCTGGATTATCTGAAACACACTCATGAATTCACTATGTACATGAACTTGTGGGTCCAATATTACCTGCAATGTGAGGTGAAAATATGGCAATATATTTTAATCCAGACTCCTTTAAAACTTCATACATACGCCGGTGATCTGCTGTAACATCCCTAAATCGAGGCGGGACTTTATCGGAATTTGCATCATGGAACAGAAATGCAGACAAACATACAGATATAATATCCACACCTAGTTCTTTCATTGCTTTAATAATATTTTTCAAGCCTTCACTGAGATCTTTTGTGGGGCTAAGATCGTCTCTGGTTCCCAGCGCCACAACCACAGCGCTTGTATTCCGAATTGCATTTAACACATCATTATAAAGCAAAACGTCCCCCTTCACAACTTCTACGCTGTCTCTCAGATTGTCGGGCAGTTTATTGGGATCTCGAACGAACGCTCTTACATTTAGACCTGTGTGTACAAAAATAAATGACTTCGTTTTGAATATTCAGCCATTTCAATACTCCTGCACCTTTTTTAACAGCAGCATGGGTAGCGCACAATCCTGTCGTACCAGTAGAGCCAAATATCACAACTCGTTCGATGTTCATCCTATTTGATGCGATTATTTCAGGTACACAATGGGCTTAAATAATACTTATTTACCTAACCATCCAAAGAAATGGCAAAATGGCCAACTCAAAGGTAAACACAAAATTAGGTTATCGGCATATTCGTCTTCTTTAATCGAGTACTGGTTCACGAATTGCAGTAAGACGTTAGACCAAAGATAGTTTAGCCAATCTTCGAGTTAGTCCCGCCATTGCGTCTTGTAGTGGCATAAAAAAAAATTATCAATCAGTATCCAACTATTGGAAACCCTTATAAAAAAACAAGATAACTTAAAAAAATAATGAACCCTCAGTTACAAATTTTGTTGCCAACAAAATTAATAAAGTTACATAGGTATTTGCTACAGAATTTTATAATTTATATCATGCTGACCCTAAAATTTAAGCAGTTCACCTATTTGATGCGTTATTGGGTTGGGCGCGAGAAGGATTGGCATCACTGTTACCTTTCCATTTAGTTATTCGGTGGTTAAGAATTATCATTTTGGAGTTAGAAATTTTACTTCATTTTCTATATAAAATAAATAAGGCTAAGGGTTGATTTTATCCGGTTTTTCAATAAATTTTTGTTAAGTATCGCAGTTCTTTAATTTCGGTGCGTAATTCAAGTTGTTCACACAGTGCTCGAGTTAGTGCCATTTTTATATGATATCAAAATGAGCACTAAGCAGTGTGCAAGGTGCGAAAAAGTTGTGTATCCAACAGAGGAGCTGAAGTGCCTAGATAAGGTGTTGTATGCGTTTTCTATTCCTGTGCAACTTGTTACTTTTTCGTAGTAATTTTTGCTGTGGCTGCCGCCCGTCTTTATTTCTAATGAGTCACAAAATTAATCCCTAGTTCTTGACCCTTTCAATCCTCAATCGGCACCTAATGTTAAAAAAAAGCAAGATATTTCACATTGGGCTATTATTATTGTTATATACTGTTTCCGTTTATATATGAACATCTTTATAATTTACAAGAATGAATCATTATTTTACCTACAACATATTCATATATGCTCTAATACAACTGGGGATTGACATTAATCACTAAAAGAGTTTGAAATTTTTTATTATTTATTATTTTAATATTTTTACTTATTGATCATAAAATAATTTTAGGTTTGGCACAAACTATGCTTCAAATGCAAGGACTGTGGGATGGCTTTAAATATGAGAAATTATAAAGGTTTTAATAAGGAACCTTACTGTGAGGCGTAAGTGATATCTTTTGTCTTCGCGACAATTACTTGTGCCAACTATTAAATCTATCTTTGTTGTTAAAATTGGAGATATGGATTTTTCTAAAATTTAGAATTTTAGGCACATTCCAAAAGCAAAGGCAACAACAATGGCCGAAACTCCAGAATTAAAACGAATAGCTGAAAATACCAAATTACAGTCCAATGTAATCTACCATGCTGATTTTGAGAAAAGCAAGGGAAAATGTACTCAAGTTGCGGATGATCCAGAAACATTACGTATAAAGCAAAATTCCAAAATTATCAGGTAGATTTCCAATCAGAAAAATCGATTTCTGTTTTACCATATGTCTTCTAGTAATGTGGCTTATCATGGTGAACTTCAGAGGAAAGCTGACATGGAACAACGTCGTCAGCTTAATGAAAATGGAAATGCAGAGCCTTCCAAAAACTCAACAACAGAAAATACTGTTAAGAACAATGCTGCATCAAATAATTTACCACCATATAATCCTCCGCCCCCTGTACAACCTGCTTCGGCTGTTAAAATAGCCGATTATGATCCTCAACACATGGCGGGCCAGCAATTTTCGAGTCCTTATTCATCTCGGAATTCACGGACATTAATTTTTTCATATGCAGATGTTGGAGGTACTGTGACAGAACCTGCTCCTTATCATCATATTGGGTCTGTTCACGATATGGATCCTATGAACCATAACTACGGATCATTGGGCCGAGTATACAGGTAAGTCAACATGATGAATCTTTGGAGTATCTCAGGTGTTTTAATTATGACAACGGAATTAAAATTTTACACAGTTATTTATTAGCATTCTTGAGCAATTGTTATAAATAGAAGCACCTAGAAATTTACAAAAAAAAAATCAAAAACCAAAATAAGAATCGCAAAAAAACTCACTATAAATTATTCAAAATAATTGGACTAAATTACAATTATGTTTAGCAATATTTATTTTTGCACACCTATTCTGTTTGCAACGAAAAAATTACTTCCACAAATTTAACTTAGTTGCCCTTAACATCACAGTTTTTCAGTAATTGTGCCAAGGCCTTCTTAAAATTAAAATATAAGATATCAATAGCTTTTCAATCATCATCGCAAATGATTGACCATTGAAGATTTATCCACAGGTATATTTTCGAGTTTTTTTAAAACCAGTTTCATTACTCCGTTACAGTTACAGACCTATTAGTATTTTGAGCTCCACACCCAAATTGTTCAAGAGCTTCATGTGTAATTAGCTTACTTCTATTGATCAGCAGTTTAGATTAATGATTGGGAACTCAATGTATTTTCACTTGTCAACCCCGTTGTAGATGCTTTGGACATGTATGCCAGATACTGTGACTGTGTTGTGTTGGAGTTAAAAAATGCTGTTCTATAGCCTTTAGTAGAAGTAGGATTCCTATTACATAGACAACATCAATACTGTGTTGATGCTCCCAGATTCTTTATATGCAGTTGAGCTCTATAGCCCATCTTGCCACTGTAACCCCTGCAAATATTAACTTTTATCAAATGTTGTACATTAAAAATTCTATGTCTCATCTATTGGGCTTCTATACTGTGCACTTCACTTATATTTCTTTACCTCACTATAACATCCATATTCAGAATATAGAACGGTACAGCACATAGTTTACATTTCCTTTAAATAAAGTCTTCAGGGGTATAATTATCAGGGCCTTGAATTCATTTGGAATGTTAGGACTCTGGAAAACCGTTGTAAACATAATTTTCTTCCCAGAAACTGCTCTTGTCCGCACTTGTTGCATAAATTTAGAATGTATGCTCAGACCGGCAACCAGACCAGAATCACAATCAGTTTCGACTCAGAACTAATTACAGCCACAACACATTCCTACTTGTAATATGTTGCAATGCATGTTTCCCAATCAAGTTAAATCTTTCTCACTTAGTCCCTTTTCCTCTTTTCATTTTAATTCTCATTTTCACATTTTTCTTTTCTAATTTTTGAATTATCCTTTTCTCAATATAAAATTTTTCTTGTGTAGGTTGTTGATGTTAATTATATTGGTCTTTATTATGAGCCTTAGTAATTATTGTAAAACTTTGTAGGCTTACCGCCCATAGGAATAGAATTAATAAGTTAATATAATACAATGTATAATATTTTTATCTAGAAGAGAAAATGTCATTTTGGACAAAATTATTTACTCATGTTAAGAATACTGCCGCATTTGTAGATAGGCATAACCATCATATATCTGGAAAGTTTCCCTCCCCTGATATGGCATTAAAACTGCCACAGAATGGTGTGCATCTCCCCTAGAACCGTAATCAGTTCACATAAATTTATTAAATTTTATGTGGCTTCTTCCCAAATCCATAAAAAAAAATCAATTAATTGTTTGAGTTAAGGTAACTTGTAACCATTGAAAAATAGAATTGCGCTTCTTTTTAGAGCTATGTACGATTATGAAGCTCAAGATGAAGATGAGGTTAGCTTTCAAGATGGCGACCTAATCATAAATGTAAGCAGCATCGATCGGGGTTGGATGACCGGCGAGGTGCAACGCACCGGTCAAGTTGGGATGTTACCAGCAAACTATGTTCAATTAGCCAATATTTAATTTTTGAATAATAAAAGAGTGTATCGGCAGTAAAAGTTTGGTTAACCCAAAATGATAAGCTGTTATGTTTTGATATGTCCGGAATAAAGTGGGGTATTTTTATTCCATTTTAATCAAAGTTTGGACAAGACTTTTATTTGGAGATTATACGGTCGCTAACATTTTTGCTGCACATATTCATTATATTGATGTCGGATAACCAGTGTAGATTGTATTGCCTGGTAACAGCAATTGGGATCTCTTCAGAACCTTATTTATCATTGTTGTGATAATAGCTAATTAATATAAAAATTAAATCCTATTTCTTTTGTTACCTAGGTTTAATATGCCTAAGAAATTTGTCCTGGATTATTGAATTGCGAATTATTGTGATGAAATATATAACAGCTTATCGTTACTTTGTGGAAAGTTTGTAGCCAGTACTGTCTCATTTAAATTTCCACATGACAATAAAAAACATTGTAAAAAAACAACAGCACCGCAAATAATTGAATTAACTGTCGGAGTTTATTGTTTTGAATTTTTTCCTTGTTCTAAGATCATGTTACCTATGAAAATTATATGGCTTAATTAATAAGACGACGCCACAACACAGAAACATTTGATACTATCACTTACCTCAAAAAATAGGTGGAGACGCGGGGACCATATTCTTATGGCATTCATAAATTTTTGCTTTGCAAACTTGTGCTTGCATAAAGTGCTTTTTTGTAAAAGACCCATAAAGAAAAACAAAAGTTTGTTAAAAATTTGGGAAAAGAAATGTTGTGAAGTCGTGTTTTTAAATTTGCAATTTTTTTTTCTTAGATGATTAGAAAACGTTTAGTAAATACTTGCGAAAGCTTTGCAATCAATAAAAAGAGACTGTATTTTACGGTGAAATGTCAAAATTAAGACTGGACCATTGTGCCTTCGAAAGCAAATAATGCATTTTTTGGAACATTCCATAGTAAATTTGATATCAAACTTTGCGCATAAATATTTAATATAGATAATTGCCAATACTGCAAATGGCAAAGTAACTAAAGCCTTCATGTTTTGCACCCTAAGGGAAACAGAGGCTGTTTTATTGAATACAACAAATTGGTGTATATGGCCTAAATGTGATTTTTTTATATGTTGACATATTAGAAAATTTTTTGCCTAAAAAGCTGGTACTTAGGTAACTGTGTACTATTTTTCTTTCTGTTGAATATTATTGTTTCATTGCCATATTACATCATTTATAAAAAATAATGCAAAACGGAGCTGCATTATTAAAATATTTTCTACCACCTAATGTTGTATAGCTATGGATCACTATGAAATGATAGTGATAAATTTTCCTTAATGACTTATGTACCTATAGCAACCAAGTTGTAACCAATAATTGGATTATACAGGGTTTCAAAAAAAACATTGCGCCCGCGCCCGGATGGAAATTCGTCGTATAGAAAAAAGTGAATATAAACGTAGGTCCGGAAATGCTTACTTGCCAAGACACGGGGTATTAAATATGTTTTAAAAAATGGTTTGTGAGAGAATCTTTACGTCGTCATTTTCATTGTGAGCTAAGTGAAATGGTTCAAAAAATAAATATGTGTAAAAATGTTTTGTCAAAAGTTGTATTTTATCATAAGAAATGACTTTGAAAAATTTTAACATAATCGCTAAAAAAACTTAAGCTATTGTAAAAAAGGAACTAAGAATTTCGGGACCTACATTTGTATGATAGTATTTTCCTTTTTATTTGGAAGACTTTTCAGCCGTATATTTTTTGAAACGCCCTGTATAAGAGAATGGAAAACCGTGCCTCTAGTAACTCTGCCTTATATGGTGCTAGTAACATTTTACACGTAGGTCGAAATAATATTTTTATAGCCGTTTTATTTTTGGAAGAAGATTTATAGTTCTATTTCTTGACGCGGCTATTACGAATTTACGCGTTTTGGCAATATTTTGTATAATTTATTTTTTTGTAACAAAAGATTATGGCAACATGTATTTTGTTTGCAACTTGACTTTTTTGTGTTTATTGGGTCTATCATAAAGTAGTTGTAGCGGATTTGACTTTAAGTAAGTATATAATGAAAACAGTGTCATTGCCAAAATTGCTGTTCTTTAATATTTTCTTATTGTAATCTTTATTTGCCCAGCAGCATGTTTTTTGGAAAATTCGATTAAAATGTGAAATTACTGGGGTTCTATACCTATATATCCTTTAATTATCGTCAAGACATGCATGGTTTCATGGATGCACTATCTAGCTAATTATTATACGCTGAATTAACTCGCTTTATGTTGTACATTTATAGAATGTATTCTTTATATTTGTTTTTTTGTAATATTGAATTTTTCACAATGTTTATTAAAACATACAAAATTAGCATTTGTTTTATTTTAAATTCCATATTAAACTCAACCTATAGAGCATCTAGTTGAGGACCGTAAACACTGTAAAACTGATGGGTCTCATGGCATTTATACACAGTACAAAAGGATTTTCGGTGCATATCCATAAATTTGATTAACTACTTCTGCTTTGCGCCCTTTTTTTCCCTAAACACTGATCTCCGCACACTTAGATCATATAAGAGTGTACAAACTGTTCGAAGATTTTTATAACAAGTGGAAAATAATATTTGACGTGTAATCTAATTAGGGAAACTCAAATGTTAGTTTAGTTTTTTATAAGGGTACAATTTGAATTTAGTTTTTGTTTCAACCCCAAAATAATTTTTGGTAATATGGCCTTCTTATGTATTTGTCATTTTATGTCTAGGTTATTTTTTACTTGTGGTAGTCAATTTGTACCCCTAAATTAAGATTCTAAAGTATGAATTCTAGTTGTAAAATATTTTAAAGTTAAAGTTTTTATAAGGTGCTATACCAAAAATCTAAAAAATAATAATTTTGGGAGTTCAAAAATCAATAAAATAAAATTTAAGGAAAGATTCAGTACCGGAACAGCAATGAGCTCTTTAAAGAATACTTTACTGTAACCAAGCAGAAAAAACAAAACAATAAAACAAATTATTTCAATATATATTTTAAATAAAACCAATTTTCCAAATAACAAGATATTATTTAACCAGCTTCTGCCTGCTGATAGGTCAACGCCCAATAATAACCCTTCAGTTTTCTCAGTTGATCATGGGTCCCCATCTAAAAGATAAAAATAGATATAATAGATAGTAGATCGGCGCTAGAAAACCACAGTGTTACAAAAAACTACCTGCTGTGTTGGAGATTCATCATCCAAAATATAGTAATTTTTGTTATGTATTTTGAGTAAGTCACTAAAAGTATTCTTTTTACTCTTTGAATTGTTTTCGTTATTTAGCCTCATTTTCGGGCAAAAAAGTGACAAAACATATATTTTGAACCCTTCGATTTAATTTAGTCGGCTTTATTGCAGAAATGTAGGGTACACTACATAAGAGTTTTCTCACAGGATGTTAAAACACCCTGTGTGAACTACAGATAGCAAATATTGGTTAGGAAATCACATTTCGAACTTACAATTAGGGCCCAAAACGTGAAAATCGCTTCCTTACCAAAGGCTGAATTTAAGTCTATATGATGGAAAGCAATTTGAGCATCTTTTAACTTCCAAATACATAAAAATAGGGAAAAAACTTAAACAAAACCAATTATTTTTCTAGTAATTTTGCAAAAAAATTATGTGATGAATCAGATTTCACTATAAGAAGGTTTGTCCTAACTAATTTGTCCATCATGATGCAATTTATTTCATGAAAAACTAGTTCTAAGAAACTTAAAAATTTCCATATAATATATAAAAATGCCCTCTAGTGGCGATATACCAAATTACAGCCTGTATAAATAAGCTAAGTTTTGCACAAGAAATGACATTTAATTAATTAAGTTATACCAACATAAAATTTTACATATTTAGACATAGGGGAATATTTTTGAATTATTCCAAGCTTACAATACAATTACACCATTACAATAGATTATGTTTCGTTCAAAGCTTTGCTACCTATGTCCATAGCTATTAAACTGCCAATAAACAAGGTTACTTTTAGTTATTTGAGAAATTAAGAAGAATTCATAAGTGCTTACATAAGTTGTCGACATTCCAAATAAGTAATCCATTTATCTGAAAGAATCGTTGATTTAAATTGCATTAAAATCTATACATACATTTTTAAATTAAATTTGTTTTATTTGTAAAGTCATAAAACGCAGAATTTCTTTATGAATATCATACAAAAGCGGTCCTAAATTTTATTTGTCTATTTTTCTTATCCACTAGTTCATGGACGTCTGTTTATAGTCTTATACCATCGAAACTTCAATGTTTCTTTTGGATTGTATTAAAAAGTTGATGTTAAGATAATAGTCCATCCTTAACACTTAAAAATAGAAAAGTAAAAACTAACTTTTGGCCTTGAGCATTTTGACTGTGCAAATTTGGTTAAGTAGTTTTGTTACCTCAACTATCTTTCCTTTATGCAAAACTAGTATAACATCAGCATTTTGAATAGTTGACAGTCTGTGAGCGATAACAATTACCGTTCGACCCTTTCTCGCATTTTCTAATGCCGCTTGTACCGTTTTTTCTGATTCTGTGTCCAGAGCACTACAAAAAACGAATAATCTCCGATTAACTACATACCGGTTGTCCCAGTGAGGGCAACAAGGTACGCTATTAGTAAAATGGACAGCCCTTGAAATTTAAAGAAAAAAATCACCAAGTTAGAGTACTCCTTTAAACCTGTGACAAATTCAAATTTATTTGTTTAATGCTTTGTACTATCCCTGCCGCCTTGCGACAAGGTGGCGTTTTCTGATATAATCTGACTTGACTTTCTTCATTAGATGGCAAACCAGGGCCCAACAGTCCAGTGAAAACCGCATCTCAATACGTTGAAGAGCACAAAATTACCCAGTACCTGACATTATTACTAGATTTTGACACATTTAGCCGTTTTCAAACATTTGGTATTAATATTTATTTTTTCATTAAACCTTATATTTAATCACTATCTCGGTCACTAAAGAATTATTGGAGATCAACTAATTTTGTTTGTTCGTGTATGTAAGTAGCAAAATGTGGACTACCATTTAAGAAATAAATACGAAAATCATCATCTAATATATACAAGTTTGATAAACGGCATTTGAGTCACGAGCGATTTAAAATTTTTATAAAAGGTGTTACACATTACAGATCATTAGCTTTTGGATACATTTTTGCAAAACAATGCAATACATTCACTGAGTGACATGTGACACGACCGTCAGAATTGACAAAAACATCCAATTTTCAATTACTCCGAAACCCGAAACATCCCAGAAATGCCCAAAGCGGGTCGCACCTGTACGTAACGAAACTGATGTAAAATGACACTTTACGCACGTTGTATACTTGTGTATTGTAGAGAGAAATTTGTTTTTATTTGACAAAACTAACAAACTAATATTCGAATTGTCCTTCTGTGATGATGAAATCAGATGGTCATCAAAAACTGATTAGGTTAGGGTTGGTCGACTAAACCTAAATTTTAATTAAAAAATAGGTGAATTCTTTTTCAAGTTCTTTTATTAATATTTTAGGTATGGATCAAGATATTGAAATGCCATTTTCAATAGGCTGATTATCTAATGACTATGATCTAGTACAATCGCCTTGCTCGTAGCAAGATGAGTAGCCTAAGAAGAGCCTTTTTAGCACTGATTTAGTATATTGTGATATGCCTTTCTATAGTTACTGACACTTATATCTGAAAATGTTTCCTCAAACAAAAAAAATTGAATTTATCTAATATGATACTCACTCTCACTATTGTTAATATAAGAAAATTTTGTAGAAACCGGGCTTTAAAAATCAATAACGCCATCTGGAGGCCATTTCAAAAATTCGAAAATATATTTTTTCGAGATTTTTCTTTTAGCCGATTTACTTAAAAGTCGTCCATTTATCTAATACCGTACCTCATGCCAATTACTGCATCACTTGGTATATAACATGAGCATCTAACCTTGTTGCTTCATCTAACAGTAAAATTTTCGGATCTTTGAGTAATGCTCTCGCGATTGCTATTCTCTGCTTCTGACCCCCGGATAATGTCACTCCTCTTTCACCGACTGCGGTAATATAACCCTTAGGAAAATTTGAAATAAATTCGTGGGCATTTGCCATATGTGCCGCTGACTCAACCTCAAATTGGTAAAAAAGAAACTAACACCAGAAAAAAGATTCAATTTGTACTTCTCCATCTGTGGCTTCAGGTTTCCCATATCGAATGTTTTCCAAAATTGTAGTCCCGAACAGTATTGGCTCTTGGCTTATCAAACCCAAAACCTTTCCACGTAACCAAGATGGATCCAGAGTTCTAATATCGTAACCATCAATAGAAACTGAACCATTATTAACATCATAAAATCTAAAATAGTCAAAAATAAGTAAAACAATACAATATTTCACTCAAAATTATGTCACCTTTCTAAAAGAGCCACAATAGTGGATTTTCCATTGCCAGAAGCACCGACTATGGCTATAGTTTTACCGGACGGAACGGTCAAATTAAAATCTTTCAGAATAACCTAAAACATTCTGCAAGAAATTTCTCAAAATTTACATCATGGTACACGGCAGCTCGTTTGTTATAAGAACACATCTCATAACCTGTAAAAATATGAAAACAACAAAAACACACAAAACAAACAAAAGTTGTTAGGATTTACTTGTACTTTTATATTATATTGTTACATATATATATATATATATATATATATATATATATATATATATATATATATATATATATATATATATATATATATATATATATATATATATATATATATATATATATATATATATATATATATATATATATGTATATATATATATATATATATATATATATATATATATATATATATATATATATATATATATATATATATATATATATATATATATATATATATATATATATATATACAGGATGTCTATATTTACGTGCACAACTTCCTTATTTTAAATAGAACGTAATTGAGTAATAGTAGTAATAGAGTTTTTCTATAATATTAATATTATATCCCTTGGCGGAAGTTGTAGCAATAAAAGGTCTTTCCATTGTGAAAATGCTATAGGCTATTAATTGGCCAAGAAAAAAAAACAATTATAAAATCATGTCCGGTAATTAAGATTTTGTTATTTAATTTATAAGGATGGACATAGAAAACCGTCAATAAGTGAACAAATAAAAAAATTTGAAAATTTTAGGACCAGTTAGGCAAAAAAGCCAAAATTGTTAGGTATCTATGGTGCTCGATTGGTTTTTTTTTGCCTTGTCTCGTCGGCATTGCCATATTTCTGTATTTATTTATTGTTTTAATTATCAACGCAGACCACCAAAATGAAAATCAGGGGTGGTGAGGAGAAATAGACCTGCAAACGTAAACATAAAATTGAAAATGTATCAGAAACGGTAAAACTTAGGTATAGGTATTTTATATGTATATGAATTATGTATAGAATTTTCATAGGAATTAAAAACTTAATAGAGTGGCGTAAAATAAGGAAGTTGTTACTTGTCCAAGAAAACACAAAAACAGTGTAAGTGAAACCAAGCCCTGTTGCATTTAATTTTTGTTGATAATTAAGAAAAAAACTGAAAAAACAATTGAATTGTTTAACATAAAATTATTGCAGGTTATGGTTATTTCTACAGTTTTTAGCTATCTTTAAAATTTTTCATTTTTATTATTTTTACAGATTCTGAGATAACATGTAATCCGTGATGCATGAGCCACCCAGTACAATTCACACTAACCTGTTGCTTCCTTGTAGGATATGCAAATGTAACATTTCTAAACTCAATATTACCCTGAAGAGCATGCTCTGGTATAATTTCTCCTCCTTTAAGTTGCATTGATGGATTTAAATTAATGTACTAAAAAGGCGTCTAACCCATGAATATTGGTGGTTTGGAAATTAGCCTTAGCGTTTACCTCAAAAATTCTACCGCCTGCCGCTAGTCCTCGGAGAACACTTCCAAACAAGAGCGAAAGTTGTCCTAGGGATCTCTGAATTGTTTGAGAAGACATCAAAAACGCCATCACCTCTCCTGCTGAAATTTGGTTAGTGGAAAGTAGATATCCTCCCATATACAATGTCATTAAAACCATACTAAAATTAAAAAGAAAAACTTAAGTAATATATATATATATATATATATATATATATATATATATATATATATATATATATATATATATATATATATATATATATATATATATATATATATGTATGTATGTATATGAAAAAGTCGAATGTTTTATTATTCCCAATTTATAAATTTTGAAATTTTTAATACAATAATTAGGAACAAAAACATATATATACAGTTTTGAAATCATAAGAATTTGGTATAAAATATTAACATTTCCTTGCATACTCAATTCACCAAGTCTTTAACAAAGTGAATAATGAAAGTACCACTTAACAACAACCTACATACCTATTTAAAAACATGTTAGTGCCAGCTTGAAAAACACCGATACCAAACCCAAGAGTTTCATTCAAAATCATGGCGTGTTTAGCTTCTGTTTCAAACATTTCCTTCTCCTGGTCCTCCATGGCAAAGGCACGAACAGTTCTAACATTGCTTACTGCCTCATCGGCCACTGCAGTTGCCTTTTCTATCTTCAGTCCAATAATAGTATAATTTCATTTTTTGAAATCTAAATCCAACTTACTTGTGCCTGTGCTCTACGAGATGTGAATCTCAATAATGACCCAAACAGAGTACCCACTGCTATAACTGAAGGAACACAGAGTAAGGTCACTAATGTCATATAAGGAGAGATCGTAACCAAAGATATGGAACAACCTGCAATTTGGGTGATTGCTCTAAGACCACCGGAAATTGTTTGTTTAAAGCTACTTTTGAAGTCTTGGATATCAGTTGTTAGTCTGCAAGATATATATTTTAAGTTAAAGATTTTTTTATTGTAATACCCTGGTTCTTAATGAGAGGGATTTATAGATCATTACTAAACTCTAAAATTTAGTGGTGTAAAATTTAGTAGCAGGTAGATGGACAGGTTTTTGGTCTACCTGTTAGAATTCTAGTTACTTTTTGACAATTATTGACAAAATCCGTTCTTGAAAATGCTTAGTGTTTTTGAATTTGTTGGTGAGTTAATTTGCACTTTCTAAAAATAGGGAAAGTATTATTCTCAATGTGTTCAAAGCCTTTCGCCACCAAAACTCAACATTAGGAGTTGCAAAAATGGTTGAAATGTGTTCATATATAACTGAAATTGGACAGTCAACAATATGCGGTCGTAATCAAAAAGAAGTACATGACGAAAAGAAAAAGAAATAATAATGCACTCGTTTTACTGAAGAATAAAAAATTGGACAAAATAAGGTTTGAAATAGAAAAGCATAATTTCATTTCACCTATAGGTAATAAGACATTGTAGAAAAAATGAAAGAAATGAGTTTTGGTTATTTGAGAGCAGTTAGACAATTTTGAAGGAAAATCGGGAATGTAGGTTATCTGGATGAAACTTGGATAAAAAATGAAAAAATGACATCATATATGGGATTACTTCAAATAAGAAGCAATTTTAGAGATAAATTTGCTGAAAAGGAGCCACTAGTAATTGTACGTTTAAATAAATCTCTTTGTTTGACATTTGTTGTCAATAAAATTACTTCAAAACGAAATATAGCAGTACTTTGCCCTCCTCCAGATCACTGTGAATTAAACCTCCATAGAATTCATATAAATGAAAGTACAAAGGTTTGTACCAAGGCATAACACCACTCTTTTTATTCTCTCTTGCAAGAGCTAAACCCTCTTGCAAGAGAGAGTGGATTGTGAAAATTGGATTGTTTCAAACATGAGACTGAAATAGAAGAATGTCTATAATATATAATCATATAAAATTATTATTATATTTAGTATTCAAATATATTATCTTTTGTAATGCTGCCGCCTTATTACTTTCATTCACCAAACTCTCTTTCTATTGTATGCACATGAGTGTGACTCTAGTTTAAGAATCATTTGAGTTGTGGAGGTCTTAAAAACTATCAATGTACTTTATATAACTTTTAAGTTGTCTAACCTGTCTTATTATTCTCTCCCATTAAGTTAACTAGGTATAATGCTTCTTAAATATTACCTATTTACAATCTCACCAGTCCTTTCTGCATCAAAAAAGGCTATATCTTGTTTTAAAATGGATGCAAACAAATCTGATTTCATTCTATATGCTATTTTTTCACCCAAGTTGGATAACATAAAAATATAGAAGAAAGTAAAGAAACTCTAAAATACAAATAGCATTAGGAACACCAATTAGTCAGTGGTTTGTCCAATTGACTTAATTTAAATAAAAACTAACCTGTCCAATGTACATGGCAACTAATTTAATTACCGGCACTTTCATTTCTGAAGTAAATAACTTGCCATTATTTTCACCAAATTTAGTAAGCAAGTTGATTAAACTTCCCATAACTTCTGGAATTTTTATGTTTAATATGGCTACCACCAAGGCTCCCTAAAATTTTCACACAAATAAAATATGTTAACTAGAAGTTAAAAATATAATACTTACCGCTATTGCTGCCAAAAAATAAGCAATGTTAGGTTTCAAATACAACCAAAATTTCTGCCAATCAAATCTTAAATTTTTGTCAGTGCCTGATTTATAACCAGATAATCTTGTTTTAGTTTGCGCCTCGCATAAGGCTTCGTTGTGAATATAAATATTTCTGAACACAGCACCTCCACATAGTACCAAGCCAATAGTTGTTCTTTTAAAACCCTTGGATTGATACACGTTTTTAAAATATTTGAACTTAGGCAATTTCACTGGGGATATCTTATAAACAGTTTTGTGAACAAATTTGTAAGGATTCAATAAGTAGCACCTGAAAAACAGGTGAAACAGACTAGTCTTTGGTCAACAAAAGTTTACCTTATGCTGTTAGAGGTACTATAACCCATCCTAAGCATTACGTTGAACATGCCCAAATGATTTCACAAATCAATTACAAAAGTATAAACAATTAAGGGTTCATATTTTATATAATTAAAAAATTAAATAGTTTATTAAATAAGCTATAACCTCGAAATCAACGTAAAGTCAAATTATGGAATGTCTTCTTCTTTGGCGTTTTACAGGACTTGGGTATAATTGCTACCATCACTTGCTTATCTGTCGTGGTTTTTCAGTATATTAGTTTTATTAGTCAATCAGTATATTATAAACATTAAATGTAGTAATCGACAGAATTTTTAAACCCATACCTGCACCCCCTGGCTACATTCATCGATGATTATATTTTCTTGTAGCTGACCGATACTTAACTATGATTTCTTAATAACACTCATGCTCAACTAATCGTGGAAAGAACTAAAAAGAAGAAGATCTGCTATGTTTTTAACTTGACCTGTGGATTTAAACCGACAGGATCAGAAAGCTGAGGAAACCGATTTCTGCCTCCCATTTGGATCAAGGTGTGAGCATTTTACGGGTGTGTCTGGACCTGCAAGTAAAATTCTAAGAAAACGTTAAAAGCTTTACTCTCTATCCCATGTACGTATTTTTCAATAATAGTGTAAATGTGTTCAACAACAACAATGCCAGAAACCAACCAAAACTTACCAAATACTTGCTTATTTATAAACAATTAAAAGACAGAAAACCAACAGCAATATTGGAACACGGTCAAAATTTTAACACCTTCTATATTCTAAAGCGGGGATTTATAAATACGGAGGTGGTATTGCTGGAGTATCAATAAATGTTTATTACTGATATTACCACTATCCAAACAAAAATTAAAAATTGTCAATGCCACTGCCATTCCTAGCTTCGCAGTTTGGATTGGATTTTTTTGGAATTTGTGCTTTGTGATTTGTACAAGTGATGGATTTATGCAAAACTATTTTAATGGACTTAATTATTTGGTAGCGACCATTTAATTCAAATTTAAAAATGTATTACTTAAATAAAGAAAAACTTCGATCAACAAAAACCGACGCAGGAGGAATCCAGAAGTTTTATAAAAAGTAAATATTTTAGGCCTTTGTAACTAATATAAGATACTAGTCAAGTACTAATTAAATAAGTATTTATTTATTTGTTATTTATAAAACCGAAAAGTTAAAGATAAAATAAACATGACTTACAGAAGGTGCAAATAATAAATTGTTTATTACTGTGATAAAAAAGTTTTGTTCCTGGACCTGTGGTGAGAAAATTTTTGCACTTATTCTGCTTTTCCCACTTATCCTTAAAGATGCCGTCCAGGGGGCTGGTTTTTAATTATGGTGCTCTCCCCATGTATTAACCAATGCTTTATTAGAGAGTTGCCGTTCTATCTTAAACTATTTTCCATGATTTGGATCTAGAGGAAGAAAAGAACGTAGCCGTGTTACCCTAACAATCGAATTTATAGCCCTCACTTATCAGGTCATCTTTGAGACTTTTTCACCTTGTCTATTTAATAATTGATTGCTCACCATATTGTAATTGATGTGTTGAATTTTTAAAGGATTGATTTTATGGTTCCGCTTGTGTCTTTCGTGTAAGATGTGCAGGTATTTCAGATACCAACTGCTTCATGAGTGCTTCTGTAACAACTAAACTATTTGCCAACAGGTGAGTTTTGTCTGCAAAATAGAAATTTGGGGGTAGGCAGTATTTACCCTACATAAACTAACACTATCAGCATTTCCTCAAACGTCACGCGTCTTAAGACTTAAGATCCGAAACAGGAGAATATTTAAAGATTTTTAAAGATTTTAAGGTACGTCTAGACTTGTGACAGAACCCCATATCGCGACACCGCGACAATAAATTAGAACTTTTATTTTTACACTCATTAAAGGAGGTTCCAAGTTCATTAGAAATTTTTTCCGCATTGCATCATACTTTTCAATTATATTGTAATAATGTGGATTTTTCTTCTTCTTCATGTACCGTCTCTACTTCGGAGGTTGGCTATCATCATTGCTATTTTGATTTTGGAAGCTGCGGCTTTAAATAGGTCAATAGATATTTTTCCCACAATTTTTCCCTGGATTATGAGTTGTAAAATTTCATACTTTGGTCCTCTCATTTTCAATCAATTTCCTTTCTTTCACTTCCTGTAGGATCTCTATACCTTTGTTCATTCTTCTCAGAACCTCCACGTTGGTCACATGTTCCGTCCATGGTATTCTCAGCATCCTACGGTATGCCCACATCTCGAAGGCTTCCAGTTTCCGCTCACAAAACAGGTTGAGGGTCCAAGCTTCTACACCATACAAAAGGACCGGGAATACATAACACTTGAGCATTCGAGTTCTCAGATCTAGGCTCAAATCGCGACTACAGAGCAGCTTGTTTATCTTCACAAAGGCTGCACGGGCGTTCTCAATGCGGATCTTTATTTCCGAAGAATAATCCACATTGCAGTCGACACTCGTACCCAGGTAATTATATCTCTCGACTCTGTCCAGCTCTTGGTTTTCAACATACAGATGTTTATGGAGCACTTTGGTTTTGGTGACAATCATGTACTCGGTCTTCTTAACATATTCTCGACTAGTCTTGACGACATTATTTAACATATTCTGCATATCTTGCATGTTTTCGGCGAGAAGTACTGTATCATCCGCGTAACGCAGATTGTTCAGTGGAATGCCGTTAATTCTTATCCCAGCGGTATCATTTTCGAGGGCTTTGGTGAAGATTTCCTCTGAGTAGAGGTTGAAGAGGAGTGGTGAAAGAACACACCCTTTTCTAACTCCTCGCTTGATTTCCACTGCTTTCGTCATTTCAGATTGGACGCGAATCGACGCACTTTGGTTTAAATATAGTTTTACTATTATTTGTATATCTCTTGTGTTGAGGTTTTTTCGTTCTAGTGCTTCTATTAGCTGCTTGTGTCTCACCCTATCAAATGCTTTATTATAATCAATAAAACAGGCATATATGTTTTGGTTGACATCAAGACACCGTGGCATCAAGACATTATGGGCAAACAAAGCCTCCCTTGTGCCGAAACCATTTCTAAAACCAAACTGAGTATCTGCTATATCCTCTCCCAGCTTCTTATTAATCCTGAGGTGGATGACTTTGAGAAAAATCTTCAGTGTGTGGCTCATAAGGCTGATCATACGGTGTTCCTCACATTTTTTGGCATTAGGCTTCTTAGGAATTGCGACGAAAGTTGAATGGATGGTTGAATGGAATGAATTCCTTTGGTATTATTCCTGTTTCATAGGTCTTATTAAACAGGGAAGTTACAACATCTAAGTGTTGTTCTTCAATCAACTTGAGCGCTTCTGCAGGTAAGTTGTCAGGGCCAGGTGCTTTCCCATCTTTGGCTGATTTTATTGTTGCTTGTACTTCTTCCTTTGAAATAGATGGTCCAGATTCATTATTAGTGCTGGTAGTTATTTCCTCTCCTTGATCGTTGAAGAGGGTTTCAATGTAGTCTTCCCATAGAATCAGTTGATCTTTAATATCCAACACAATGTTTCCCTCTTCATTTGTAAGAGTATATGATTTTTGCTTCCAAGCAGTTTCAGTAAACTCTCTTATTTTTTTATGCACACTGTGAGAGTCGTGGAGTCTCTGCAAATTTTCTATTTCGGTACATTTCTCTTTTATCCCCTCCTCTCTAGCTTGGCGACATTTATATTTGATGTCCTTATGCACTTCCTTATATTTCTGTTTGTCCTTATTTTTCAGGTTTCTTCTTTTTTCCATAAGCACTTATATATCCTCAGTCATCCAGTCCTTTCGATTTGTTCTTTTCTCCGGTTTCAGATGCTTGCTGCAAAGTTCTATGGTATTCGATTTTAAACTTTGCCACATTTCTTCAGGTTGGTTCTGAGTTGCCGAACGGATATTTTTCAACTTATTCAGGTTCTCATTGATGTCTTGGTACATCTTCACTTTAACGTCATTCCTTTTTAGTAGGCTAGTATCAATAGGTCATTGGTTCGATGATATTTTCAGCTTTTTGAGCTTCACCATAATCTCCGCCACAAGAAGATTATGATCCGAGCCCACATCTGCTCCTGGGTATGTTTTAGTACTTTTCACTGAATTTCTGTATCTCTGATTGAGGAGAATATAATAGATTTGATTCCGGACTATATGTTTTTCGTTGTCTTGTGGCGATTTCTATGTGTATAGGCGACGTTTTGGTAATTTGAAAAAGGTATTAGTTATTACCATACAGTTTTCTTGGCAAAACCGTAGGAGACGATCTCCTCGCTCATTACGTTCCCCCAGTCCGTACCGCCCAACCCATTTCTCACATGAACCTTTTCCAATCTTCGCATTCATGTCACCCAGGAGTATGGTGACGTCTTTGTTCTTAGTCAGTTTCATGACGTCATCAATGTCCCTGTAGAAAGATTCCACTTCTTCATCGGTTTATCCGCTGTTGGAGCGTACACTTGGATTATGTTTAGTGTACCACAGTATGCCTCGAGTTGTAAAAGCAAAACACGCTGAGAGAAAGGTACGAGATTCTTCACAGATCTCTGAAGAGTCTCGTCCAGTATAAAGACGTTGACTGTCACTACTTCCTGAATAATAGACAATTTTGTCTTGAAGTCGTCTCTGCCCGCAGTGTATCCAGCGAGCCTCACTGATTCCCATTATTTTGATGTTAAGTCCATTCATTTCCAAAATTACATTGTGTGTTTTCCTTGGATCGAACATGCTTTGAACATTCCATGTTCCAATTCTTATTGGTTTTTGCAACAGGGTGTTTTTCAGATCGGTTGCATTACTCATATCAGTCACAACTCTCCTCCCCGGAGATCCGATCGGAGGACTTACTCCGGAATTATATTTCGTTCTGACTTTAGTCATGCTGATAATGCAGGGAATATCACTATGTGATCTTTAATGCCGTGGTTTTCCAATTTGCCTTCTGCATCCTTATGCCGTTCACTACTTATTGCAGTTCATCCGCCTTTTGGGTTGATTTCTCAGCCCAAGGACAAAAGAGTGCCCTTGCACTTTCTGGCTCCTCCACCCGAAGCTGTTGGCCAGTGGTTGGGGACTGCTTATTCCGGCAGTCGTTCGGTCGTCAGAGCCTCGTTAGTTATCCTGCAGGGTGCATCAGATGATAAATATTTATCATCACTCTTGCAGGTGAGGTTGACGTTTGGATAGGAGAGGCTGTTTGAGTCGCATCACTATCCCTCTACACCATAATTTCATGTTACATATACAACTCGATGAACGTTAAAGCGATGACGCCGGAAAACCGACAACGCATGAAACGGTTGGATGACACGCTGTGAACGATGTCCCGGAGTGCAGTTACGTGGTCTCGTCCAAACTACACACCACAAAGTGTGCGACGATGTCACAACACGGGATTCTGTCAAGTCTGGACGCACCTTATCATATACCACTACACATGTCAGTACATCGCCTCTGACGAAACAAACAATGGGCGGAAATGGATTAAAGGTACTTCAGAACTAACGTCCGAACCCAGCTCAAAATGAAGGGCTTTCATGGCAATATATACGAAAAAACAAATATGGAAATTCGGAATTACTGGGAATTCTCCATATGAAATTTTTTATCCACGAGCTCGTTGAAATGATGATCCCGAAAGCTTAATATTGATGAAGATTCATTTCATCGATGTTACCCGATTCTTTGCTGAAACAAAGCTGATTAAGACGTAATAATAAATAATAATGATAATAATAATAATATTAACAACAATATCATTATTATGGTGTGCCGAATGATACTCTCGAGGTAAAGACACCGTTTAGGACCGCCTTAAAGTGTCCGTTTCTATATTATAATCGCCAGCGGGAATAAAGACTACAATGTCTGCAAGGCAATAATATATTCAAACTGAATCCGAAATTTTCAACCGCCACTGTTTTGCCCTTGAACTCAGAGATATCGGACAATTTCTCACTGACAATAGCAACTATGAAACAAATTTTGAAAGGGTCCATTCGTCGCCAATAAGTTTGAGTTAACTGTGTGGATATCTCCTAGAAATAAAATTGCGCAAACTGCAGGATAGTGGGTGGAATGTAGAGGCATGCGCGGAAAATCATTACCTTCTCTACTAAAATATCAGTACCGCCTGAAGCCCATCAATTTTTATCGCCACTATATTATCCAATAGCTATATCGGTTTTCCCAATCAGCGATAGCGAATGTAATAGGTATTGGATAGATACTCAGATCAAATTTTATATTCAAAATTCATCGTCAAACGTTGATAGGAGTTTTTTTTATAGACATTCGAGATGAAGTAACCACTTCATTTGGCACGAGCGGAGAGTAGGCATATACCTAACTGTAAAAAAATTACACACTCTGTCGTCAGCGGAAGACGAAAGACGTAAGACGAAAATGAAGCAGACAATATACACAAGGGAAATAGAAAAAAACTCACTGTTTGATACTGCTAGAGTTAGGTATAAGTTAAATGTTAAATAACAACACCGAAATATTGTTGACAGGCTACATCTTTTTTGATATTCATGAGTCGGCAGATTTATAATAGACAGGAATTTTCTTGTTTCCCATTTGGAATGGAAAACATTGGCACGATGGGGACATAGCAGCGTTCTGAAAATTTGATCGCTTACATAAGTGACCTTCGAAAAAGAAATCATATTACATTATTAAGTTTTTCGTCTGGCATAAAATTTCTGGTTTGTATAATCTTAGACGTTTTCAAAAAAGCAGTTAATTTTTTTTCAATACCTTTTGTTCAGAACATAGCTCCAATTAACACAGGCACTTTGAACTTGGAGAGAGCGAAATTTTGGCTATAGTTTGCATGCGATTGTATGCAATCTGTGGAAAAAATAATGATACTTTCATTTCAACCACAACCATGTGCCTATGGCGAAATGTTAAGGATTTTGAAATAAAAGAACATTTCTGTAAAAATTGGCATATTTGAATTAAGTATCAAAGAACTTGTGAATCAATTCGATTGAAATTTTAGAAAATTGGACACATACCCAAATATATATACCAAAATATTTACTCGAATGAAGTCTTGATGAATTTGTTAATGATACTTGTATAGTGTGCCTCATTAATTGCTGATGGATTTACGATATATCTTCCTTATTAATTAAGCTAGTGTGTTGCGACTGGTTACTCAAGGCTACTTTTTTATGGAATGAAAAGTGGCACACAACACAAATTGCATAGTTGTTTTGGATTTTTAGACACAGTGTGATTTTGAAAACATTGCATTTTTAAACTGTAAGTGTTTTGTTCGGGCTTAATGGCCGTCGTTGAGTGGAATTTCTTCCTGACGTTTCGCTAGCACGAGCGGCTAGCTTTTTTCTGAGGTGCTTCCATCTCCGATGTTGGATGCAGACTGACGCGCTCCCGGCCGTAAGTTGTATTTATGCCTGGTGAGTCGTGGAGGGGAGGGGACGGGGCATTTTAACGCCTAAGCGCTCAACATCCAAGTATAAAATATACCATGGAGACAGAACAAAATCAGCTAATAGAGTTTCTGGAAGTTCTAATAAAAAGATGCAATGGGAAACTAAGCCACACAGTGTACCGCAAGCCGATTCACACAGATAGGTACCTACATGCCTCATCCAACCATCATCCAAGCCAAAAAAGAGGAATCATTACAACCTTAACAGAACGTGCCCGGAGGATCTGTGATCCACAACACCTGGAAGCAGAACTAGATGACCTCAAAGAAGCCTGCCAATCAAATGGATACAGGATATCTGATATCGATAAGTCTATGAGGCCCAGAACTGCCTCACGACAAGACCCGGGTGAACAACTAACGTTTGCGAGTGCTTATCTACAAACGCTAAGATCAGCCAAGGACAAGAGAGATCTACTGTCAGCCGCCGGAGTCTACCGCATACCATGCACGTGTGGAAAGGTGTACGTTGGAACGACAAAAAGATCTGTCGCAACCAGGATAAAGGAACATCAGAGAAGCTGCAGACTGGGACAAACGGACAAATTGGCAGTAGCGGAACACGCGCTCAGTGAAGGGGATCACAACATTCTTTTTGGGGAAGCCAGGCTTCTTGCGCCTACTTCGGGCTATCACGCCCGCCTCGTACGAGAAGCAATAGAAATCCATAAACATACAAATAATTTCAATAGAAAAGTAGAGACACTGCAGCTCAAACAAATTTGGAACCCCATCTTAAGGAACACAAGGACAGCCCCGGAAGAAATTCCACTCAACGACGGCCATTAAGCCCGAACAAAAACACTTACAGTTCAAACACTGGCCGCGAAAGCCTTAATTTTTGAGTTTTTAGTTCGGTAGTGCATTAACTTATCCGAAAGGTGAAAACTGATCCGGATAGCGTTTTTTTACATAGAATCCAGTTGCGTAGTCAGTTTTCTTCTGAAACTCAGAAATATTGATATTTTTGATATACCTACAAACTTAATTTGCGTTTTTTTTTAACCGACGTAAGGGGTCTTTTAATTTTTTTTTTGGGCTTTTTATGAGTTTTTAAGAAATATGCAACACATAACATATATCGTTAATTGTAATTTCTTTTTATGAATAGGCTATCGGAAAAAGGGATTTGTTTTCATAATACAGTAGTATATAACATTCGTTAAATGGTCATGACATTTGTTGAGTATTATTTTAATTTCTTTTAATTTCTGCTCCTCTTCTTTGCTGTTATGGCTTATGTTTTAACCCAAAATATGATACTTATAATAAATTGGATATTATAGGGATGTATTGTCAATGCACAATTACTTTTTTTTTATGTAAAAAAACAGTATTTTCCGTGGCCTACTCATAAGAAATATAAACTTAAAAATATATGCCTGGGATATGAAATAGTTGTCAAAGTGTTATTTATTTCTTAAAGGAAATAGCAGTCGTAATAATACAATTAGACATATAAGACATACAGCGACTTCAATAACAAAAATACAAATTTAGTTTATATATCCGAATTTGTGAGTTTCCGGAGAAAATTGACTACGCCACTATATCCTACTAAACAACCTTATCCAGGCCTGTTTTCACCTTACAATAAAACATATCTTAATTTGGACGCAATGAACGAGAAGAATTTTGGACGATTATAAAATAATTGCATTAATTAAAAATTAATTAAAAGTGAAAGCGGAACGAGATTTATTGAAACCTGAAAAAAGTTCTTGTACTTCTTGTTTTAACGCTTATCCCCAGGTTTCTATCAGAAATCTGAAAGAAGATTTAGACTAAAATTACGCATTAATCCAAAAAACCCATTGCAAGCCTTACATACGTCACTACAAATATACTAGAGTTCAAGCCATGTACGAAAAAAAGTTTGTAGCCGAATATTAGAAAAAATGTTGGAATTTATTATAACTGCACGTATTATTGGGAAACATGCAATATTTGTTTGTTTTATTATTTAAATACGTAACGCAAAAATAGGAAAAGTATTAATAGAAATATGAATTCATAAACCCACAACACACAACACAACAATCTACAACTTTACTCTACTAGGTGTCGGTGATCGTCTATTTATTTAGTTTTAACATTTCATCTATTTTACGTTTGAATGAGCTTGTTCAATAAGAATACACACTATAATTCTGTAGACATGAGAAGCTACAGGTGAGTCTGAAAAGAAATAATTTTTAAATCATTACCGTCATAATATAATATATTTGCGATCAAGAACATATCCATTATGCAAACACAAACGCATATTTATTATATGTAATGCGTAATAGCATATTATGCAACAAGTGTGGTAAACAGCACATGAGTCACGAGTTTATTTGGCACGAGTGGAGCGAGCGCTTAATAAACGAGTGACTTTTAAAAGTATACTTAACCTGTTGCATACTATATTTTTTCGATGACCGTTAGTTTTTGGGTACATTTTTGCAAAACAACACGAATACGTTCACTGACATGCCCGTCAGAATTGAGAAACGTAAAATTTCAAGCCGTGCGGTAATATTTCCGAGAACATTCGATTGCTCCCAAACCCGTGCGATAATAATACTAATAAAGGGACGCTTTAAGCAGGCTGGATCGGTGTATAATTAGGTATTTTACAGAAAGGAGTAGAAAAAATATTTTAAGTAATTTAAGTAATGTTAAGTATGGCATGGAATTATAAAAATTATATTATATATATAATAATAATTTTAAGCGGTTATAATTGATGTTTTACAAACTAAACTTCTTACCAGTTGATTGCAATTTCTGATTTTGTAGCAGTTATATAAGAAATCAAAATTATTACACTTTATTATAAATTCCTTTCTGTAAGGGCATAACAAACCTAACCAAACAATAAAACCTGTAAAACAGCGTTTGAGCAGACTCACACTGATGGTTTGTATTGCTAAAAAATGGTTTTATATGCCGTGGGGTATGTCACTAATATTGCTGCAAAATGAAGAAAAAGTTTCCATGCTTAAAAATAAAAACTCAAAATGTTATCACATTTTTGTTTAACCGTGAGAATTATGAGAAGCATATATTTTATATATAGTAAACCCCCCCTATGTTTATTTTTTGTATTACAAAAATATATTTCTGTAGAGTGTATCTCGAGGAGTAGTTTCTTCCGCAATGGTAATGACCGGGTGTGTGACGTACTATCCACTCAATCTTGTAGTAGAGATTTGTTTTTTAAGTAATAGTTCTAATATAATTTTTGGTTAGTGTTTGTGTAGTCAAAGATAATTTACCAAGAATTGAGTGAACATTTAACTAACCAAATACTATATCTTATGTTACAGTTTTTTATAAGTGCAATAAAACTTACAAACGTCAATTACCACTCTTAAGAATTTCCTCCAAATTTTAAATAGAGAAACAATTTTGGATTACATAGTCCTGTTTTGAACTCTATTATTTTCTGCAGGATTTACAATGAACAACTAAAACTTAACCAAAAAAATACAAGAGCACATTTCCTTTAACGAGCTACAACAAATCTATAATACTTCAACTTAACAAATACAAAACGTTATCCACTTCATTATATCTCCTGCAATATATGATGCTAGTAAAACTTTAATTTAATTTACTGCGTTTATTTTCTTTTTACCGAATTCTCTTTTTCCAAATATTGAGGAAGCAACACGCATCGTTGTTTTTTTGTCTTACTCAAAATCTCTGGTACGGTTAGAGGTGCAACAAAGATATAATAGTAATGCGCGGTTTGCCGTGGAAGTAAAAATGGAGCATTTTGTTTTGTCACAACTGTACATATATAAAAAAACTAAAAACCGTGCCAACTCGGAATTTGCCAATATAAACATCTGTCTCATACTCAGAAATCTAATAATCGGGAACTGCATAGGATAATACACCAGGGTGAAAATAACATAAAAATAAGGTATGTCGCCGGCCGTGCTAAATCACAAGCGAAAAACTGAAACAGCTCAACAGTCAAAGTTACAGGATATTGTATCAGAATGTAGGGCTCTCAATGCTAAAGTTGATGAATTTTATGTATTTTTCTGTTTATGTGACTGTGATGTTGTTGGGATCACTGAATCATAGCTTAAATAGAGAGTTTTCAGTTCAAGTGTATCTACTAGATACTCAAACAACTCAGGTTGGCGTGATATTTTCAACAAACTCGCACCATTACGCAGCCTGGTTCCTGCAATTGGTGTTAAATTTGATACACCATCATACATAATTTTCAACAACTTCAGGTTGATCCTTGGTGACTTGAATGTGCCAAAGTACAAACATAACGATATGACCATTCGCAAGAATGTTAGATTAAGGAGTTTTTGAAGTTTTGTTAGTTTTGTTAGTTTGAACTTGGTCCTTTACTTTAAACTAAGTTCAAATGTTTCTAAATGCAAAGTTTTAAGTTTCACTCGCAATCTTCGTACAAAATTGTATTTCTATCTACTAAATAATGTCACAATCCCTAAATGTAGCACTATCCGCGATCTTGGCGTAGCGGTTGACAGCACGCGAACATGTTTCTAGCATGGTGTATTTTCCTCTGATGCTGGATTTTGAATATTCTTATAATTTCATTCAACTCAATGATTAGATTCAAAAGGGAATGCGTCTATAGTATGACCACTTATAAAGTTGACATTGATCCAATAGAGAAAGTAGAGCGTAGGTTTTGCACCTTAGAAAGAAGTGTAGTTACCAAGTTCTACATTCAGTCACTGGAACAGAGAAGTCTCAAATATAGTATTATTATATTATATAAAATCCTCCAGAGCAAAATCGACTCGGTCAATGTACTCCAGCAACTATTAGAGTTCCACGATTCCAAAATTCGTCATAAGAATGTGTTTGCTGGATCCAGACATAACATCGCTCCTTTCAGCATCTAGCGCTATAAAACATTAGACTCCCCGAATTCTTAAGCTTAAGCCTTGTCATTATTTAAGCCAAAAGTTATGTTACATACAGGGTGAAACTTTAACAGCGTATTCAGCAAATAAGCAAAAAAGTTCAAATTTCAGAGACGTATATTCCAAAAAGATCGTTTTTGCTATTTAAAAAAATCTCTTCTAAATTTTGCTCTCAAACTTGGATGATTTTATTGCTACTTAAAAACGATTTAATAGCATAGATAAACTTGTTATTATTCAACGAGTGGCCTTCTTGAGACCGTTTTATTTAATTCAAATAATAAAAAAAAAGTACGCCAATATTTTATCGTAATTTTGTTGATAAATTTAGATACCCTGATCAATTCTAAACAAAAAAAAAATCTCTTTCTCAGTTTCTTTCTCTAGTGCGAACCGCTGTCGAGAAAAAATTGTTTTTTGAATGTTTGCACCAAATTAGTGTGCCACATTTTTTATTTTTTATATTAATTAAACGGTCTCGCGAATGCCACCGGTTAAACAAAAACAAATTTATCTATGCTAGTAATTTATTTTTAACTTTAATCTGTTGCACTATCCTTTTTTCTTCCTTTTCTCTTCTTTTCCTCCTCCAAACTACATTGTCCTATCTAAAAAACGGGAAAAGTGGCGAAAGAGATATTCATTTCATGGATTCCCCATAGGTGAACGTTAAAAGGAAGAGTCTTCACCTTAATTCATTTAATTGCTTGTAATTCTTTGGAATTCTTCGTAAAATTCATTCGTACCGAACACTAAAATTTCTCTGCGGTTTACTCCTTCTGGGAGACGAGAGAAAAAAGGAAGTCCAAAAAATTACTCGGTATCGTTAATGCTACGATCGGAAACAATATCGATTTGCAATAAACGGTCAACAGAGCG